GACGTTTGTGCGCTGTCCGACTGAACGGAACAGTAAGAATCCGGAAAGATAGGGACACCCGTCGTTGCCTCTTCGTCGTCTCTGCCTATTCTCCCACTGACTGCAGCTCAGATGATGTAAAAGATGAGTTTTACAGAAAGCTCTCCGACCTCCTCCTAAAAGCTAGGCCCTCGGATGTAGTAATAGTGGCCGGTGACTTTAATGCTCAAGTAGGTAAACTAAGCGAAAGGGAAAGACACCTAGGTGGATCTTATAGTGTCGTGGCTCAAAGAACAGATAATGGCGACCGTCTGTTGCAGCTATGCTCAGATAACAGCCTGTTCCTTGCAAATACTAACTTTAAGCATAAGGAAAAACATCTTTTAACATGGCGACCCCCTAATTCATCCTAACGTTGGACCCAAATAGATGAAATCGCTATCAGCCACCGATGGAGGGGCTCGATAGAAGAATGTCGCTCATTCTAGAGCACATGCTTAGATTCAGATCATGCTCTAGTGCGAGCGCGTATCTGTCTGCGTCTTACTGGACGTAGGAAAAACGCTGCAAGGAAACCTCTTAGGGGCCTACTTAATGATAGTCAAGCTAAGAGTATATTTCAGGAACAACTTGGAAAACAGTTAGGCAGACATGTATGTGATGCCCACCCCGAGGCAGCATGGAATGATATCCGAAAAGCTGTGGAAACAGCAGTGATATCTGCTAGTAAGGTAAACCAGAAGGTTAGGGAGCAACACTGGATCTCAGCAGCATCTATCTCACTGATAAATGCTCGGAAACACATTCCACCTGGCTCTGAACATAATGAAGAGCGGAGTCAGCTTAAGCGCAAGCTGACAAGAAGTCTACGCAATGATCGCGAACAGTGGTGGGTAGCGAAAGCAAGAGAGATGGAAAAGGCAGCGGCAATAGGTAATAGCAGACAATTGTTCAGACTTGTTAAGGAAACCGGAATTAGGAACCCGACCGTTAGCGAAACACTCTCAGAGAAAGATGGACATATTATACATTCTCAATCCAGGAGATCGGATCGATGTGCAGAACACTAGGGATCAGTTCAACTGGCCTTCAGCCACACTTCGGTTTCCCACGATCTCTAGTCAACCTGAATGGCAAGTTAATGTAGGTCCTCCGTCCCTTTACGAAGTTGAAAAAGCCATAGGAAATCTAAAGCGAGGGAGAGCAGCAGACCCTGACAGGTTTACTCCTGAGATTTTTAAGGATGGTGGTCCAGTTTTAGCAATGAGATTAACCGAGGTCTTAGGTAGAATTTAGGAACTGGACGTAATCCCATCTGACTGGTCTCAATCACTGATTGTGCCAGTCTATAAGAAAGGACAAAAGTCCTCTTGTGACAATCACAGAGAAATCAGTTTGACTAATATAGTGTCTAAAATATTAGCTCCAATAATACTTCGACGCCTAATCAAAGCTCGTGAAGAGCAGACTAGAGAAAACCAGGCTGGTTTTCGACCTGGACGTGGTTGTATAGACCAGATATTCACACTACGTCAGGTCCTAGAACATAGACACACATTCAGACGCAACACAATCTTAGTATTTCTCGACCTTAAGGCGGCATTCGACTCTATTGATCGTGAAGTACTATGGCAGTGTTTGTTACTGAAAGAAGTATCAAAGAAGTACATTAACATTGTAAAGGCTCTCTACGCGAACACAAATGATAGAGTGAGAGCTTATGGCGAACAGTCATCAGAATTGATTACCTCAAGTGGTGTTCGTCAGGGCTGTCCACTCTCCCCATTCTTGTTCAACTTTGTCGTTGACGTACTTTTAGAGATGACACTCTCCTCATCTAAATTTACAGGGGTTGAACTTCTACCAGGAGGTTCACTTGTTGACTTAGAATGTGCTGATGACATAGTTTTATTTGGCGAAGACGCTGACACCCGAACTAGTGATAGGGAGTGAAGTAGTTGAGTGTGTCGACCGCTTCACTTATCTTGGAAGTCTCATCAGCCCTTGTGGTTTAGTGTGTGACAAAATCTCAGCACGGATACAGAAGGCTCGACTAGCTTTTGCCAACTTGCGTCATTTATGGCGTAGGCGAGATATCCGTCTACCAACCAAAGGACGTGTTTACTGCGCAGCAGTTCGTTCCGTCCTACTTTATGGCAGTGAAACATGGCCGGTTAGAGTAGAGGATATTCGTAGGTTACTAGTATTTGATCATAGATGTCTTCGAAATATTGCTCGTATATCCTGGGACCATCGAGTAAGTAATGCAGTTGTTAAGAAACGGGTACTAGGTAAGGATGGCAAATCCATTGATGACGTAGTGAAACTTCATCAGTTGAGATGGCTGGGACATGTGTTACATATGCCCAACCACCGACTACCTCGACGTGCGATGTTCAGTGGTATAGGAGTAGGTTGGAAGAAAGCTAGGGGCAGCCAGACCAAAACATGGCACAAGTCCATGAAGTCACTGACAAGTGGACTGAGTCATATTGGTTGGTGTAGACTACCTGGTTGGGGACCGCGAGATGACAGCAACCGATGGTTAGAGACCTTGAATGACATGGCTCAAAATCGTTTGCAATGGCGCAGGTGCATACACTCTCTGTGTTCTCCCGAATTCTAATCTTCTGAATTCTTCATGTCCCTTTTTTCCTCTTTCCAATTTTATTTCACTGTATTATACTCTTTAAATAACATCTCCAAAGCCTAATCTTCCCGATTACTGCTTATACTCTTATTACCTCTACTACTACGGGATTTGAATCGACAACTGCATCTCTATGCTAATGTGGTGTGGCAACTCGAACTGATGTACGTACGTACGAAGTTCTACGTTGCTACTGACTGACTGACTGCTCCACTGCCTTGTGGATCACACCTTTAGTTCGAAGGCTTCGCGTGTGGCCGTCTAAAAGTACCACCTGTTTCGGTTTGGGCATCCGGGCAGTATCACAGCCCTCATACCAATCAAATGAGATTTGTGTGGCGCATATCTATTTGGTGCCTCTTTGTACGAATATCTATGTGTCCAAATAAATAAATAAATACTTTATTCAATCAGAGTTCACTAGAAGTTTATCCAGAAACATCAAGAAAGTGGAAATTCACATGTAGATTTTTTGATTGGCTGATTACTACACTGCTTTACTATGTTTAGTAGTATTCAGAATTTTCGGGAAGCCCAAGGACATCTAAAATACAATAAAAACTTTAGATTTTCTGTATCAAAACAAACCCTTGAAGTAAAGTGTTTCTCGCATATTTTGTGTTCTTTTTCGCGCCCGTGTTTAAATCGCTGTATAGTTCTAGCTTGGCGGTTACGAGAATAGTTTAGGAACCGACTGAATTCTCGGGTATTGATCTCCTTCCAGGAGGTCCACTTACCGATTTAGGATATGCAGATGACATTTGCTGTTTGGTGAAGACACTGATAAAATGCAGAGTCTTTTGGTAGTATTAAGCGACAATGCCAGGATGATTGGAATGCGCTTCTCTTCCTCTAAATGCAAGTTGTTGCTTCAGGACTGGTCTCCGTCAACACCTGAACTAAGGATAGGGAGTGAAGTAATCGAACGCGTCGACAACTTCACTTATCTTGAAAGTCTGATCAGCCCTAATGGGTTAGTGTCTGACGAAATCTCAGCACGGATTCGAAAAGCTCGTTTGGCTTTTGCCAACTTACGTCACCTTTCGCGAAGGCGAGATATCCGTCTATCAATAAAAGGACGAGTATACGGCGCGGCAGTCCGTTCTGTTTTAATTTACGGCAGCGAAACATGGCCATTAAGAGTAGAGGACACTCGTAAGCTACTAGTATTTGACCACAAATACCTTAGAAATATTGCTGGCGTAATAGTGAGGTTAGACACAGGGTATTAGGGAATGATGGTAAATCAGTTGATGAGCTTGTGAATCTTCATCGACTGAGATGGTTGGGCTACGTGTTACGTATGCCTGAACACCGATTACCACGACATGCAATGCCAACCGGCTGGTTGGAAGAAAGTTATCTGTGGCCAAACTAAAACGTGGAATCAGTGCTTGAAGTCACTAACTTCTAGTCTGAGCCATGTTGGGAGATGCAGACTACTTGGTTGGAGACTCTTGATGGTATGGCTCAGAATCGATCACATTGGCATCGGTGTATACACTCTCTATCTTCCCTTGCACAGTGAGAATAAAACCGCTTCATATCTTTCTTTCTATCAACCAATTCTTTCTTTCTCTACTATATCCTTATATACAATCTTTCTTTTATATATTACCACCACTGAATTAACTACTTTTATGAATCCGGTGTTCATCTTGTTGTGTTAATGAGGTATGGCAACTTGGACCGATGAATATATGTGCCTGCTCCTACGTTGTAGCTGACTGACTGACTGACTAGGAACCGAAATATAACGTTCAAGTACTAAGACTTATCCAATACCATAAGAGTTAAGATCTTCAATAAATCATTGTGTTTTGATCTTTGTTTTTACATCTATCTAAATTGTGTACTATAAACGGTATAATAAATTTAACCATTAAATTTCTTATAACAATATAAATTAAGTAGACTGTTAATATTATACGAATAGTATAGTTTCATTCATCTATTTAATACATAGTACATAAAAGAAAGCTAGATAGAAATAAGAGAGAAAAGAAGAGAGAGAGGGGGGGGAGAAGGCGGGAGGCAGGGGAGAAAATTACTTATTTTTACAAACAGACAACAATTTTAGAAATGTACAATGATACAAACAACTAAATCATAGTGATAACAATGATCATTTTACTAGTACTAGTAATAATCAATAATCAATAATCAATAATAATAATAATAATAGTGAATGAATAAGAATTACATCGACCAAAAATAGGCAATCATATCTATAAACAAGTATTGATATTATAATTTTGTAATAAGTAATATGGAATTAAATATATATACATACATACCCAATCATTGATATACGTCTAATGAATCCTTCACGGTTGGGCACCGACGACTCATAAATAAGAATAGAATAACTTCACTTTGGAAGAGGAGTAGAAGTAGTAGTAGCAGTAGTGTTGCTTGTTTCATATTGTTCTACAATTAATTCTGGTATTTCAGTAGAATATAAACATTTAGGGAATGGTTGTTCAAGTACATATTTTGTCTAAAATAATTTAAAAGAAAACAAAAAAGAAACGATCGTTATGTTGAAAAGTGTAGTCTGTGAAAATCACTGTAGTGGATTGATAATTATCCTTACTAACTGATATTGAATAATGGTAAACATGATAAAATTTTGCGATTTGGCCTCCTAAGAAAACTAGATGCTTCACAGTTTAAGCACTCGGTCAGTATCATAGCCCATACCTAAATCGAATGACTTGTATGGTTCATATGTCATTCGATGCCCATTTGTGCTAATATTTATGTGTTCAAATCAATGAACAAATAAAATCTATAATTTTGATCAGCCTTAAGATGCCTAATACACAAGAAACAATATGGATATGGATTGTGGGATGTGAACTTTTCAGAAGTCTCAAACGAAAATGAAAGTTATGTGGTGTTTTCTCTTAGGATTCTCAATTAGTTGAAATACAATAATTAAACAATGTTCATGAATTTTAAGCATAAAGAAATAGTTAATGAATAGTTGCTATTTGACAAGACAACAAGATGAAAAAACAATCATAACGGATAGAAAACTGGTAGCTGATTGATTTCTTTCATTTAAATATCAATCATTGAATAGCAATGATCTAAAATATTATGTAATCAATCTAATAACATTTACAATGCCTAATCTTTTTTGCATTCATAACAGGATTTAGATTAATTGTAAAAAGAGTTGCTTACAATCAATACAATCGAGTCAACTCAACAACAAGATGAACACCGAATTCATAAAAGTAGTTAATTCAGAGGTGATAATATATAAAAGAAAGATTGTATATAAGGATATAGTAGAGAAAGAAAGAATTGGTTGATAGAAAGAGCGATTTTAATCTCTTAGTTTAAGGGAAGATAGAGAGTGTATACACCTAAAACCATTGTGATCGATTCTGAGCCATGTCACCAAGAGTCTCCAACCATTGGTTACGATAGTCACGCGGACCCTAACCAAGTAGTCTGCATCTACCAACATGGCTCAGACTAAAGTTAGTAACTTCAAGCACTGATGCCACGTTTTGGTTTGTCCACCCCTAACTTTCTTCCAACCATACGTAACACGTGGCCCAACCATCTTAGTCGATGAAGATTCACAACCTCATCAACTGATTTACCATCATTACCTAATACCCTGCGTCTAACCCCACTATTTCTTACCCGGTGATCCCAACAGACGCCAGCAATATTTCTAAGGCATCTGTGGTCAAATACTAGTAGCTTACGAGTCAGCGATAATTTCACATTATTAACTAAAATGATATTCTATTTGTTATTTCAACAATCAAAATATTCATAACAAAATGGAAATACAACACAGAAACTTGAAGACTAAGCATAATTTATCATTGGATTGTTATTAAAAAGTTAAAAAGTTTATTCTGTCCAAGTAAATATTCCCAGATTAGAATCCTCTCAAATACACTTCAGAATTCATAGTCAAAAAGTATCATTAAGAGTAAACACAAATTTTTAAGGTAGTGTAGTAGTAATGAGGGAACCCAAAGGTATAGTCATAAGAAATCTTTCAGTTAAGGAAGATACAACCACTTTTTACGAAGAAACTAAAAGAACGTTACAGCAGGATCGCCACTGGCTTCTATTCTAAGCCATATCTGATAACGTCTCTAGCCACTGTGTTGCACCATCTCTCAGACCCCAATCAGGGAGTCGTGAAGGACCAACACAAGCCAGTCCTTTGCAGCTTACTTTCATACCACGACACCATGTCACACACTGACCACCTATCCGCTTCTTCCAACCAGTCCCAGAGTCGGCAAATAATGCACGACGTGGAATTCTGTGGGACGACATTCGGAGAACATGTCCAAGCCACCGAAGTCGGTGTTTCAAGATGGTGACACCAATTGAATTATCATCTCTGTGCCCGAACACACGATGCCGAGCCTCTGCATTACTGACATGGTGTTGCCACTGGATGTCAGCAATCCTTCGGAGACAGCGATGATCGAACACAGAGAGTCGTCTAACATCCTCAACTCGGAGAGACCAGGTTTCACAAGCATAGAGCAAAACTGCTCTCACCGACACGTTGTAGATCTGGCTTTCACTATTCGTGCATTGATCTCATCACTCACACCCCCACCAGCACTTATGCAGCTACCTAGATACACGAACTTCTCGACTACTTCTATCTGCTCACCATCCAGGGTGAGTACAGGATTGGAATCCTGCCAGTCTTGTAGGAGTACTTTGCACTTCGAAGGTGCAAAGCACATACCATACCTACGGACACTGATTGTCAACTGATTAAGTGCGGATTGCATGCCTTGGGCATTATCGCACAGTAAGACAATATCGTCCGCATACTCAAGGTCGAGAAGTCTTTCTCCAGGCAACAGATCCACACCACAAGCAATTGATTCAAATTATTATCATTACTTTTTTCGCTTCGAAAAACAAGTAAACACAAAAATCTATACATGAGTTAATATAAATTTGTAAAATATTGAAAACGTTCCAATGTGTCACCAAAAAGATTGAACAATCATTGTGTCTAATAGAAAATATGGTACCTTGTTAAAGAGCTAAATATCAATTAAAAAGATTCATTCAGCACCAAACATGATTCTGAAACTGCCAAATACAAACAGAATAAACATAGTCGTTTATATTTCTCATGTGAATACTGTCTACTGAAATATTATGATGGATAGTTGCGTTTTTTTTTAATGTTTTATTCTCACTGTGTAAGGGAAGATAGAGAGTGTCTACACCTAAAACCATTGTGATCGATTCTGAGCCATGTCACCAAGAGTCTGCTCCTATATTAAGTGGGTATATAGAATTTAAATTCATGATATTATGAGAAGTAATTATTTATATATTACATCATGAGAACAGTTAACATCTTACCAAATCATAAGGCCAATGACTATAATGATAATTCTTGTTTTCATTGGTTCTCATCACTGTTCTATTCGAATAAACAGAAAGGACTTCATATAAATTTGAATGTTTTGAAGTTAAACAGGCCAACTGAACACCAGACCATAATTCAGATGCATAAATTGGTGCAATAGGTGTAAGCATTACTATAAGATCAGCTAATGCACGTAGATACAAGAAACTTGAAGGTCCTGGACCACCAACATGTATGGAAGATTTCTGTAATCATAACATACAAAAAAATCCATTTTGTACACAAGAATATTGTGAAAGAAGCTTAGGACTAAACGAATAAAAAATTGATCGCTTCTAAAGAATTAATCCACTCAGTCTTACAAAATGTCAGTCGCGACCAAAATCGTTTAGTGGTAAATATTTCAGATTTAGAAGCTGTATGAATTAAATCTCAACTGTACGAGAAAACATCAGTTCCCTCAAAATCCTAGGAACGCCTATTTGACAGCAGCAAACAAACAAAAAATTCAGGTCCAGACGTTCTTTCCAATTACGCTCAACCACCTAACATATAAAAGTTTTAGCAAAGACTTCATCGATAGGATAACATAGTTCATTATTCCTGAATGTGATTCTCATTATACGATAGATTTGTAATATCTAGTTAATAAGCAACTGATCAACTATCGATCAAGCAGTCTATATAGAATAATAATAAAACTATCCTAAAATTAATGGGACAAAAGCATTGATAAACAATTACCTGAACATATGCCAAGATTAATAAAACGAGAATATGTTATGCTATTTTCAAAACAAATTCTCTTTTTTTCTTTCCTAAATACGATGTGATGAAGATCTGCCTATTTGACAGTATAAAAAAACCATACACCGTTTGTAACTCAGTTAGCTGCAATGTAGAACCTAGCAAGTATGTATATCAGTTCAAGTTGCTATGCCACATTAGCACAAACACATGAAATTGACAGAACAAACCCAAGAATAATAGATGTAGTAACTGCATCAATCGTAATAGAAAAAATTAGCTATCGAAGATACGATTCGAGAAGAAAATATAAATTAGTGAAATAGAAGCACAAAATGTGGTATGAGGAAATCAGAAGCTCAGAATCTCGAGGAAGATAGAGAGTGAATCCACATGTGTGATTTCAATCGATTTTGTGGACTCCAATCAGATAGACCACACTCATTTATATGGCTCATTCTTGTGGTCAGTGATTTCATGGACTGATGTCATGTGTTGGTTTATCGTGTCTTAGCTTTCTCCCAGCCTATTCGTAAACCAGACAACATCGCTGATCGAGGTAGACACTGGTATTTAGGTATGCATAACACGAGTCCCAACCACCTCAACCGATGAAGATTTACTACCTCGTCAAAAGATTTGCGATTTTTACCTAGTACCCTATTCCTAACACAGACACCACTAACTCGGTGGCCCCAAAATACACGGGCAATGCTTCAAAGATACGTATGATCAAACCATTTATAAAGCGCAAGATTATTAACACAACAGATGAAAAATAACCAGACTTACTCGGAGCATTTCAGTCATCTCTTGAAGTCGAGCAATAACAGAACTAATTACAAATGTATCGTCATAATATTCATTAACCTGTTTTTTTAAAAAAAAACGAACGAATATTGGACAAAATATAAAGGAATGAGCGTTGTAGAAATAAGCCTACTTTAAAGATATTACACGTTAAGAACTGATGTCATTCAGATAGGTTATCACAGAAAACAGGATAGCATTGAAGTGATATTTCGTTTTAATGCGTAATAGTACAAGAAAGAAAGGCGATCTCAGCAACTGTGATAACTACAGAGGTATCACTCTTCTCTCAATACCGGGAAAGCTCATCAACAGGGTATTATTTAACAGAATGAAGGACTGCGTAGACGCCCAACTTCGTGACCAACAGGCAGGATTCCGTAAGGATGGATCTTGTACAGACCAAATCGCAACTCTACGGATCATTGTGGAACAATCACTTGAATGGAATTCATCACTCTACATCAACTTCATTGACTACGAAAAAGCATTTGATAGCGTGGATAGAACAACACTACGGAGGCTTCTTCGACACTACGGCGTGCCTCAGAAGAGAGTCAATATCATACAAAATTCCTATGATGGATTAAACAACAAAATCTTCCATGGAGGACAGTTGACAAACTCGTTCGAAGTAAAGACCGGTGTCAGGCAAAATTGCTTGCTCTTAAAATTTTCTCTTTCTCCTGGTGATCGACTGCATCATGAGGACATCAAAATCTGAAGGGAAACACGGGATACAGTGGACAGCTAGGATGCAGTTGGACGATCTAAACTTCGCAGATGATCTGGCCCTTCTATCCCAAACGCGACAACAAATGCAGAAGACGACCAGTGTAGTAGCAGCCTCAACAGCATTAGGTCTCAATATACACAAAGGGAAAAGCGAGATTCTCCGACACAACACAGAATGCAACAATCCAATCACAATTGACGGAGAGGCTTTGGAAGATGTAAAAACCTTTACGTATTTGGGCAGCATCATTGATGAACAGGGTGGATCTGATGCAGATGTGAAGGCACGGATCGGCAAAGCAAGAGCAACATATTTACAACTGAAGAACATCTGGAACTCAAAACAACTGTCAACCAACAGCAGAGTCAGAATTTTCAATACAAATGTCAAGACAGTTCTACTGTATGGGGCAGAAACCTGGAGAACTACGAAAGCCATCATCCAGAAAATACAGGTGTTTATTAACAGCTGACTACGCAGAATACTTCGGATCCGTTGGCCTATGCTCCATTAGGAGTAACAGGCGAAAGTAAGTAAGTAAGTAAGTACAAGAATATCCAATCACCATCTAATCAAGAATTGAATGAATGACATTTAGCTTTTTAATTTGAACGACAAAATGGTTACACGGTGCTTTTTTTGGTTTTCAATGATTGTTTAATTAAAGAACTACAAAATTAAACAATCTTCACTATTTCCTTCACTAAAAAGCATAAGTGAATAATACTGTTATCACAGTGGAAGAAAATCAGTAAATACAATTTACATTAAACTGATTAGAAATGGATATTCATTCATGAGTGAAAAAAAGTAGCAACAGACATTCGGTAAGAAGTATAGGCAAGATGTTATCCTAATATTCTTTACGATAATGAGCCTATCTGTTATTGACACTATATATAATAAATAATTTAGGCATTTGTTTTTATATAATTAAAGCAAAGATTCTACTATACAGTATTGGATTGTACTTTAAGTATGAGCATTAGCGATAATATCTAACTAATAAACTTAAAATATTTAAATTAAGATTCGAATCAACAACCTTTTAGTTGAAACTTCAAGATGTAAAACAGAAGCTAAAATTTTGAACTGAGGCATTTAACTTTATAGATTTATTATTATTTATTATTTATTTGGACACATAGATATTCGTACAAAGGGGCACCAGATACATATGCGCCACATAAATCTCATTTGATTTGTATGAGGGCTGTGATACTGCCCGGATGCTCAAACCGAAACAGGTGGTTTTCTTAGACAGTGACATTGGGAGCCTTCGAACTAAAGGTCTGATCCACAAGGCAGTGGAGCGATGTCAGGAGATGCCAGTGACCAACGATTGGTTCATACGCCATTTGAACCTCAGGATACTGGAGCCAGCCCATGTGTACGATTGTTTTGAAATGAGGGTGTTCCAACTCCCCTAATTGAATCCTCCATATCCACCAACTCGGTTAGATAGCCGAACATTCGCTCATCGTCCTTTTAATTTCATAAACAACACCCCCGCCACGAGACGGAAGTGAGCAAGACTTCCCTGGCAGAAGGTATATACGCGAGGCCATATGGGAGCATACTGAGATGAAAAGCGAACTCTTTCCACTCTCGGGCGCACCAGGGCATTTGAAGGTACAAATTTAAAAAAGTCTTTAGAACTATAAGATATAGTGCTCTCGATCGTTTCAATCTTTTTTTTAAAATCAACTTTGAAAATAGAGAAAAAACTAATAAAATATTAACAAGGTGGTAACCAAATATATCATTTCAAACCTGATTATAACGTAAACCAGTCTGTAAGTGATAGTACATAAATGTCCAGTTATAATGAAGTATTTATCCATAAGCATAATTTATTTATTTATTTCAACACATAGATATTGGTACAAATAAGCACCAAATACATATGCGCTACACAAATCTCATTCGATATGTGTGAGGACTGTGTTACTGCCCGGGTGCCCAAACTGAAGCAGATGGTTTTCTTAGGAGGCCACACCCCGAGCCTTCGACCTGAGGGTCTGATCCAAGAGGCAGTGGAGCATCGTAAGAAGATACAGTCCCATGGAAGCCGGTGACCAACAATTGGTTCATACGCCATTTGTTCCCGCAGGATACTGGAGCCCATGTGCACCATTGGTTTGGAATCCTGTTAAAGCGCCGGACATTCGTTTTTCGTCCTCTCATTTTCGTAGACAACACCCTAGCCACGAGAAGGCAGTGAGAAGAACTTCCCTGGCAGAGGCTGTATACGCGTGACCATGTGAGAGCATTTCGAGAGGGAGAGCGGACTCTCCCCACTCTCGGCCGTACCAGGACATTTGGGGCCCCATAAGCATAAACAAAACAATGAAATATATTAACTATCATCTGATGCCAAATTTAACATCACACTATGGATAATACTTTGAACATTAAATACTTCATAATAGTCCATAATTCTCTTCACACGTACAACAGAAATTATTTTAATTACACATAGTTCACTGATTCAAAGTGGATATTGAATAGATTCTGTTTGGACACATAATTTTTGATAAAGAGTAAGTCGTTTAAAACTAGAAGACTATCAATACAGTAACAATATCAATATCAATCTCTAATCATGATAAACAATAGAAATTTCACATACTATTTGTAGGAATTACTCAATAAGACATAACAGAATTCATAGTAGACACCGTATGTGAATAGTACTGAAAGAGAAGATGTATATTTCATTCGAATTCGAACTAATCAGCTAGATGCACCGAAATCAAAGTATTTATAATCAAACTGAGACTCGAATGTCAAAGCATTTCATTTAAATATAAGTCAGACAAATCACGTAGGCTGGAAATGTGTAAATGAATGAACACAAAAGATTACAATTGTGAAAAATAGAACAATACATGTAAACGAACAATATTGTGTTCAATTGGATTATCATCAAGGTTTATTCTATCATATACATGAGTATTTATTACGAAAATGTAAAACCAACTAAGGTAATTTGAGTCAATAATCACAATGAAATAGATTACATCGACATACATACATAATAGGGAAAACTACAAGTTCATAGTAGTAGGAAGACTGTTGTACTGATAATAGTAAGAATAATAAAATACAATAACAAAACTCTTATCTATGGTTAAACGTTGGAAATAGATGGTTAAACGAGAGTAAATAGACTTAGACTAGTTATCACAATACATTGGAACCATTACGTAATTAGAAGTGTGTAACTAATTAGATAGTGAAGAATACAAACCGAAAGAGGCGGAAAATTACAAACAAATACTGGTGTGAAAATAAGGTTAATGATAACAAAAATAAAATAAAATGAAAACAAAATTCTAAAAAATGTTGTTTGTTAAGTTATAACTGGCCATGGAAGGGATAGGGGGTTACGGATTTCTTCTGTACACATAAATTGGGGTTATATATGTACGAATTCCAATGGCTTCAGCTATATATAGGAGACGGGAACGAACTCTGTTGGGAAATGATGGAGGTATACGATAGATAACTCGAAATGATTTCGATTTATCTACAGTATGACCTCTATCAATGAGATGTGCCAAGATAGAACTGCGAATAGTTTTTCTCTGGCCCTTTATGTACCAAGTTGGTAGATGTTCACTCATTCGTTGGTTAAGTTGCCTGGCAGTACTCCCTATATAGCTATCTCCATAGGAGCAGCTGAATTTGTAAAAGCAGATTGAGGAGGCCAACTCAGGTAACTTATCCTTCGTTTGAGTAGACATCGCTGGTCGACAAGATAAGGTCAACGCAAGATTGGCTGCGTATAATGTCCTGCTAATTACTTTCGTTAACCTATATTTCGGAGTATCACTAGCTAGCTACATCCCCGTTGAATTGTAGTTTCATGTATAAAGACTTCTTTCGAACAGTCGAAATCTCCGACTTCTTTTTTATGCCATACATGTACTTTTTAATGAAAGCACTGGGGTAGCCGATCTCGGTCAGTGAGTTGTCGATAAATTTCAGCTCCTGACATAAAGTATCTACTGTACAGATCTTTTTAGCTCTGCTAGTGAGACATCTGACCAAATTTCTCTTGTAACGGATGGGTGTGAAACTGCAGAAGTGAGTATATTGGCATGAAGAGAGGATTCTTCTATACACGCTTCTACTTAATGTGCCATCACTTCGTCTGCTTAGTGTGACGTCAAGAAAGTTCAGCTTCTTATCATGCTCGTTTTCACCAGTGAAAGTGATCGCTGGATGAACACTGTTGAATTGGTCTAGGAGTTCCTCCTTACTGTTGTTTTGATCTTCGATAATGAAGGTGTCGTCAATGTAGCGGCAATATAAATCAAGTTTCTTAATAGTCTCATTAAGAGGTCCATTTTCTAGCTTTGCTAGGAAGAGATCAGCTAAAATCGGGCCTAGAGGTGAGCCCATGGCTTTCCCGTCTATTTGTCTATAATAAGTATTGTTAAAGACAAAATGGACATTCAGTGTGCATCTTAAGAGCAGTTCCTTTAGACTGTCGTTAGGCAAGCCAATGTTGATTTATTTTTCTGATATTTGCTAGTAATTATGACATCAATAATTAAGTAGAAAAACATTTGGCTAATTTCCTTAAGGATCTAAAGAAAAAGGGAATAATCACGACAGAAATTCATGATTCAATTAAGCCGACTGGATCATTTACACCACGACTGTATGGTTTGCCTAAAGTACATAAATCTGGTCTTCCTCTACGTCCAGTTCTATATATGTACAATTCTCCTTACCACAAAATTACAAAGTGGCTAGTACGAATCTTAGAACCTTTACACAAATCAGTTGTTAGAAATAGTATAGAAGATGTCTTCAACTACACCTCCAAATTAGTGAAAGCGAGCATGATAAGAAGCTGAACTTTCTTGACGTCACACTAAGCAGACGAAGTGATGGCAAATTAAGTAGAAGCGTGTATAGAAGAATCCTCTCTGCATGCCAATATACTCACTTCCATAGTTTTACATCTATCCGCTACAAGAGAAATTTGGTCAGATGTCTCACTAGCAGAGCTAAAAAGATCTGTACAGTAGATACTTTATGTCAGGAGCTGAAATTTATCGACAACTCACTGACCGAGATCGGCTACCCCAGTGCTTTCATTAAAAAGTACATGTATGACATAAAAAAGAAATCGGAGATTTCGACTGTTCGAAAGAAGTCTTTATACATGAAAATACAATTCAACGGGGATGTAGCTAGCTAGTGATACTCCGAAATATAGGTTAACGAAAGTAATTAGCAGGACATTATACGCAGCCAATCTTGCGTTGACTTTCTCTTGTCGACCAGCGTTGTCTACCGAAACGAAAGATAAGTTACCTGAGTTGGCCTCCTCAATCTGCTTTTACAAATTCAGCTGCTCCTATGGAGATAGCTATATCGGGTGTACTACCAGGCAACTTAACCAACGAATGAGTGAACATCTACCAGCGTGGTTTACAAAGGGCCAGATGAAAACAATGCACAGTTCTATCTTGGCACATCTTATTGATAGCGGTCATACTGTAGATAAATCGGCAGCATTTCGAGTGATCTATCGTATACCTCCATCATTTCCCAACAGAGTTCGTTCCCGCCTCCTATATATAGCTGAAGCCATTGGAATTCGTACATATATAACCCCAATTTATGTGTACAGAAGAAATTCGTAACCCCCTATCCCTTCCGTGGCCAGTTATAACTTAACAAACAACATTTTTTAGAATTGTGTTTTCATTTTATTTTATTTTTGTTATCATTAACCTTATTTTCACATCCAGTATTTGTTTGCAATTTTCCGCCTCTTTCGGTTTGTATTCTTCACTATCTAATTAGTTACACACTTCTAATTACGTAATGGTTCCAATGTTTTGTGCTAACTAGTCTAAGTCTATTTACTCTCGTTTAACCATCTATTTCCAACGTTTAACCATAGATAAGAGTTTTGTTATTGTATTTTATTATTCTTACTATTATCAGTATAACTGTCTTCCTACTACTATGAACTTGTACTTTTCCCTATTATGTATGTATGTCGATGTAATCTATTTCATTGTGATTATTGACTCAAATTACCTTAATTGGTTTAACATTACCGTATGAATATTCATGTATATTAGAATAAAGCCTGATGATAATCCAATTGAACATCATATTGTTCGCTTACATGTATTGTTCTAATTAATGTATAATAAATGAAATATTAAAAGCAAATAAACATCAGTATAAAGCTTGGTATAGAGATATTCACCACAAGTAAGCTTGCTATATCCTATTAACACAATTAGATGTAATTAAGAACGGATGAATAATAAAAGAGATGATAATCATCTATTTATTAGTAATGGATCATTGTAAAGACTAAGTAGTATGAATACGATTTGAAAAAGAAACAAACCAAGCAAAGAAACGAAATGCAAATGATGTCTAAAGGTATAGTAGAATGGTTGGTTATGAGAAAGATAAAGGATGAACGTATCTAAGCAATTATGAATAATTTTGAGTTATATCACCTGATCAAATAAATCAATCATATAGAGATTTTTTAAGAATAATCAAATTGACTACTTACAAATGAATAGTAGGATTAATAGAAAATTGTTTTTTAGAATTTACCCGCTTTATAATGGATTGATGATATTTTAAAGAATATGATGTATGAATTAATAATGGATCATCCATATCACATTTTAACTCCCATGATACATTAGAATGTTGTAAAGTATTAGAATATTCAATAAGTTGTTCAACTAGTCGATTCATTTTATTTAACCAATTATTAACACCTTGAAGTACTAAAATGAATAAAATCAAAAAGAAAAAAAGAAATAAAATCACAACACTCCTACATAAGAATAAACAATATAAAGAGAATGAATAATTCTAAGATCAGATTGTACTATGTATGACTCTTTGTGATTGAGGCTGAGGATATGCATTATCACATTACACATTTACACTAATGCATGGAAAACATGAATAATTAATTTCAAAAGAAAATAAGAAACGTCAATAAACGGTTAGTATTACACATACAACTCTAAATCCATCCTAAAACGGTTACAGATGTCGGAGTTTCTAACCGCATATCGCTTATGTTAGTTTCTTTTTGTGTATATTACACTTTACTACTTAATATTACTTAGTAGTTTGAATAAGTTTGACCTATTTTATGACGAGTGAACTGTAACACTAGGTATACCATAGTAACAAGTCATTTATATGTATATATTGTTCATTTGTAATTTAATTTCGATATTTTAATCCATTTTCCTTATTCTTCAAACTGTGTTCCTCTTTCCATTAACCTTAAACTCTTTCTCATAACTTTATCATTTGAAGTTGTTTTACTTTGGAACGAGTTTGTTTCAGTCAGTCAGTCAGTAACAACGTAGAACTTCGTACGTACGTACATCAGTTCGAGTTGCCACACAACATTAGCACAGAGATGCACTTGTCGATTCAAATCCCATAGTGGTAGAGGTGGTAAAAGTATAAGCAGTTATCGGAAAGATTAGGGTTTGAAGATGCTTACCAAGGAGTATAATCCAGTGAAATAAATTTGGAAAGAGGAAAAAAGGGACATGAAGAATTCAGAAGATTAGAATTCGGGAGAACACAGAGAGTGGATGCACCTGCGCCATTGCAAACGATTTTGAGCCATGTCATTCAGGGTCTCTAACCATCGGTTTCTATCATCTCGCGGTCCCCAACCAGGTAGTCTACACCTACCAACATGACTCAGTTCACTTGTCAGTGACTTCATGGACTTGTGCCATGTTTTGGTTTGGCCGCCCCTAGCTTTATTCCAACCTACTCCTATACTACTGAACATAGCACGTCGAGGTAGTCGGTCGTTGGGCATACGTAACACATGTCCCAGCCATCTCAACTGATGAAGTTTCACTACGTCATCAATGGATTTGCCATCCTTACCTAGTACCCGTTTCCTAACAACTGTGTTACTTACTCGATGGTCTCAGGATATACGAGCAATGTTTCGAAGACACCTATGATCAAATACTAGTAACCTACGAATATCCTCTACTCTAACCGGCCATGTTTCACTGCCATAAAGTAGGACGGAACGAGTTTGTTTGATTAAGAATGTTTTCTGACAATATTAAGAATGAAAAATATAGAATATTGTTTAGAGAATAATATAAGAACTTGTGTTATAAAATCAAGTGACATATTACACTTAAAGTATTACATCACAATTTCATAGTATTGCCTTTGGCAAAGCTTTATTCTGTGAGTTGAGTAGGTTGAATATGAAGTATTTATTGTCGTTCAGGGAAACATTATTAGCACAAACTTTAGATAGAAGTGAGGTATTTACATTTATGTACAAGTGACTAACAGTTTGTTTAGTCAATATTCAGTTTGATTGATTGTGTGTAATACTTGTCTTGACATTGGCTTACACAATTCTTTGGATTAACTCTCACCTTGAACTGATTCATAGCCTTACAAACTTTTTTTTAGAATTTTCTTAACTAGTTGACAAAAAATTGGACATATTTTAACATCTCTATCGATTCCCGATTGACTTGAGTGCCTAACCTTTAAAAAATCTCTAATCTTCTTTAGAGCTGTCATTGATGAAGATTTCTAGCCCACTTACTATCATCATCTGAAGCTCGTATTAATAATAACATCGTTTAGAAAAAATCAATGAAACCGCCAAGTTTAGAGAACTCAACCCCACCAACATCATCCTCTTGAATAAGGAATCTTCGTGAAAATCTCAGAAAAAGAACAATAACATCTTTCTAAACTGATTCAGTAACAGAATTATCAATATGCTTACCGTCTTGTTCAGACCATTTTCTTGATCGATGTGGTCCAACATTTGTCAACATTGTAATTCTTATTGTATCCATACCATATTTTTCAACGACATCAGTTGGATCAATTCCATTTAATTTGGATTTGCTCATTTTATCCCAATACATTTGAACTGGTTGATTAGTTTCAATTTCATAATATTCAACTTTTTTTAAAAAGTTAGATGAAGAAACAAAATAGAATATGAAATATTCAAATAAATTTCACAGACAAATCTAATTGGTAGTCAGTTGAATATATTACCATCTACACGAAAACGTTTAATATATGGATAAGTGATTTTATTGATTGAGGAATATGATCTTCAACTATTATGTTACAGGTTCTCTACCTACATCAGATTTGGCAAACTGTTATCAACTGAGCAAGTGATGTGAAGAGATAAATGAAAAAGCAATGATGAAGAACAATGGAGTTCGATGTTCAGGCATATGTAACACGTGGCCCAACCATCTCAGTCGATCAAAATTCACAACCTCATCAACTGATCTACCATCATTTCTTAATACCCTGCGACTAACCTCACTATTACTTACCCGGTGATCCCAGCAGATGCGAGCAACACTTCTAAGGCATTTGTGGTCAAATACTAGTAGATTACGAATATCTTCTACTCTTAGTGGCCATGTTTCGCAGCCGTAAAACAGAACGAACTTCCGCGCAGTACACTCGTCCTTTTATTGATAGACGGATATCTCGCCTTCGCCATAGTTGACGCAAGTTGGCAAAAGCCAAACGAGTTTTTCGAATCCGTGCTGAGATTTCGTCCGATACCAACCCATTAGGGCTGATCAGACTTCCAAGATAAGTGAAGTTGTCGACGCGTTCGACTACTTCACTCCCTATCCTTAGTTCAGGTGTTAACGCAGACCAGTCCTGAAGCAACAACTTGCATTTAGAGGGAGAGAACCGCATTCCAAACATTCTGGCATTGTTGTTCAGTGCTACCAGAAGACTGCATTTTATCAACCAAACAGGATTATGTCATCTGCATACTGTAAGTCAATAAGTGGACCTCCTGGAAGGAGAACAATTCCTTAAAATTCAGTCGACGAAAACCTTTTCTTAAGCAGTAGGTGTCTAGAATGAAATTGAACAAAAATGGGGATAGTGAACAGTCATGCCGGATACCAAATGAGGTTGCCATTGAATTAGGTTCCAGATAATTTGTCTCGTCTCCTCAGTTGCCAACATATTAAGTCGCAGGTCGGTGATAGATTAGTTTTCTTTTCTCTCAAAGTCGATCAGTCATAAAAGAACTCACATATTTGCTAGCCTTATGATTGGATTAAATAACCTATCGCATCAAGGCTTTAAATTAGATCGAGACAACTCTCTCCTGTATATTAGAGGGCAGATGGATCAAGGATGTAAAGGTAATACTATGCCAGAAACGTAAGACATGGTTATAAAATGCTCATCAGTATTAAATTCGTTTTCGGTTCTCTAATTACGACAGATTAATAATTGGCAATAAATAGTCAATTACCTATTGCTTATGTAAATGGCATTATTAGCATTTCACTTTCTAAATAGGTTGCAGTTACAGTCCAATACTTAAAACATTCTATAAAACTTTTGAGAATTTAGAAAAGATATGGATATTTGAATTTTCAGTGAAGTATACATAATTTGTTCTTCGTGTGCGCGGATCGGCAAAGCAACAGCAGCATATTTACAACTGAGGAACATCTGGAACTCAAAGCAACTGTCGACCAACACCAAGGTCAGGATTTTCAATACAAATGTCAAGACAGTTCTACTGTCTGGAGCGAAAACCTGGAGAACTACGAAAGCCATCATCCAGAAGATACAGGTGTTTATTAACAGTTGTCTACGCAAAATACTTCGGATCCGTTTGTCGGACACTATCAGCAACAACCTACTGTGGGAGAGAACAAACCAGATTCCAGCGGACGAAGGAATCAGGAAGAAGCGCTGGAAGTGGGTTGGACCCGCATTGAGGAAAGCACCCAACTGTGTCACAAGACAAGCTCTCACATGGAATCCTCAAGGCCAAAGGAGAAGAGGAAGACCAAAGAACACATTACGCCGGGAAATGGAGATAGACATGAGAAAAATGAACAAGAATTGGATGGAACTAGAAAAGAAGGCCCAGGACAGAGTGGATTGGAGAATGCTAGTCGGCGGCCTATACTCCATTAGAAGTAACAGGCGTAAGTAAGTAAGTAATATATAATTTGTCCATAACTTGAATAGTTCTTAAAAGGTATGAAACGTCAAACTACTATAATGTTTATAAGTAATTAATATTTTATAATAAACCTTTCTTTGCTTACACTTAAAGCTTGTACTGTTTTATTCCTTCATAGAACTAATAATCTGTAAGTGGGGTTCATCACAAACTGACCTCCATTGAGGTAACACTGTAAACTAGGAAAAATTGAACAACTATTTTGTTCTACTATGAAAATCTTCCCGTGAATCTATCAACGATGGGATCACGAATCCTGAGGTAATGCGGTGAGTGCCAAAGTATTGAACAATTGGTCTGGTATTCAATGGTTTACATTTCTAACTTCAATTAGTTGGTAATACAGTCTGATGATCAATTAACTGAGGTTAATCTATGGATAAAATTCACGGTGAATTAAACTATAATAACTAAAATACCTTTACATAGTAAATAGTAACGGTTTTACTAAGTTGGTCTGGTTATATTATAGTGTCTAGTACTATACCAAGCCTACATGGGTGTTTCTAGTTCATGACAAACCGACTTATTCATCCTTCTCAACCTACATGTTGACCTTGTTGGTTATTCGCTCGATAACCTTGACTGTTTTATATGAGCTTGTATGTGTGTATTGCTTATCCCACACTGATTACATATTGGTAGCTTATTTTCTTCTAAATATAAATACCAAGTCACATTTGATAAAATGGAGTTGGATCACTCGCCTTCTCTGTTCTAATTCGTCCTGATTTCTTGCTTATCATTTTGAATGACTTTCTGGATCAACGAGTGTCGAACTATACGTATTCAAAATTGTATTCTCGTATTTGACTTACTCCATTATTCATTAACGCGATTTAAGTCGATAACTATGTACGACGGTATGAAACCTCATACATATCATTATACACGACATGAATAAATAACTTAATCATTATGCGTGCAAAAATCCATCATACTAATTAGAAATAATACAAACTACTTGTTATATCCGAGTGAAGATTAAATTACAGGTAACTTCCAAGTACTATTCATGGACTAATATCCTATAAATATTCTTGTTGTATAACTATTCAACAATTGCATTATGTATATTTATATCCCTCTTATGACAAGCTTTATTTTGGCCTATAATTTATTATTGTACGATTTACGGTTCTTAAGTTATGTTCAGTTTATTAACTACTGCCTCCCACATTCACAGCCACTTTTTGGGCTTATTTGTGTACAAATATTATTTCCTATTTTATGGTACGTTGCGGTCTGTGTGATTGATATATAAACCAAGTATGCCTGAAATAAACGATCTGCTCTGATTCGGAAGCTGGTATCTTATTCTGGACTCAAGTGGAAGGGCTCGTAGGACATAGGACCAATAAGGACGCTAAACTGTCCACACTGCTTGAACGTCATTGGTTGGCCTAGTGTGAAGATTCGTATAAGTCGTATTCGGATTGGTAGATAAATCGTGTGATAGCAAAACAAGACATCCAAGGTCATAACACTACTTATATATAGAAGTAGACTACTTACTTTCATTTACATTTCCCTCCACTAAACGATAATGTCCAATTTGACCATGGTTATAGTTGTATGATTACGTAAGGAGACTAATCAAATCTGAAGTTTCTGTCTTAAACTCAGACAAAACAACAATTATTCAGTACTATCTTAAGGTCTCAATGATATTCATCAGCCGATATTAGTTGAAGATGATATTGTGACAAAAATATTACCCGTAAGTTCGAAGAGATGATCTGTGCCTGACAGTATAAACCAGGACGCACGTTCCATTCTATTTAGGACTCATCAGTTGGATATACCTGAATCCCAGGGTTGATGTTTACATTTGGACTCAAACTCAGTATTTGTCTCTTCGAACATCAACGTATTATCCACTGAGCTACTAAGGCCAGATAACTACGAAATTATTCAACAGGTACGCTGTTAGTAAGGGCTTGAATTATCCCGTTTATGATACTCTTGATTGAAATTCAATCAGCCCTTGTTAAAATATATCCTGCGAAAATTGCTTCGATATAACCATCTTACATAACTTTATATGCTCAACATTGTTCCAGAAGCCTCATTTACACAACAAAAACAACAGGCATATACATATAAAAAAGAGGGAGTGAACATAAACCCACTTTCTTTCTCAGATAAATATCTTTTATCAACACATCGTGTTGGTATAAAACGACCAGACTTTGGATCAATATACGTTTGACCCAATACTAAACCAACAGGGAGGAAACGTTTAAATGGTTCTCTACACGGTAGTACATTTATATCATGAAGGAAATGTGCAATAAAACGAGCATAGTACAGATGACGAACAGCTAAATATAGAAAGCAGAAAATAAATGGAAGAAGATGGTAAATGTTTGAATGTTTTTGAAGGCAGAAATGCTGATTCCTTGCAACAACAAAAAAACTGACATACGTTTAAGAAGTGTTAAAAACCAGATAGTAACTGGCAATGTTTCTTATTGTAATGAACAAGAACACCAGTGGGGACAATTGAATGTATTTAAGTACGAATTTACAGAGCATCTGAGAACCATATAGTAAAGGCTTAATTTGCAAAATGTCCATCAGTTGTCTCAAAATGACTCAGACTTCATTGTTCTTGCATTTTCATACAAATTGTATTCCGTTTCCATTCTTTACTGTTCGATCCTCTTGTCTCTCTGTTGCCAGACATTCTGTTCATGACTAACGTCATATACTACTTATGTCGATATAAGTAGCACACACCACACCATTACGATTAAATGTATCCTCAGTAGAATGTGCATTTACAACGCACTGTTCAGTAGTAAATTTAGTATTTTCAACTTAACAGATAAAAACACAATACTTTTCTATTAATAATAATAAGGTGAAATCATATTATGGTCGATATTTGAAAATACAGTCAATGCTTTTCTCCGATGAATGAATTAGAGATACTTAAATATGCTGCAATATTGGTAAATACGTGTTCAGAGGAAATAGTTATTCAGCTAAGTAAATAGCTTTTTATCAGGTCAAAAAGAAATGACATTTTACATTCTGTATTATCTTGACGGTGTAACACTGGTCATTACTCAGGGATCGATCAATTGAAAGCATCTTAGTTCTACAGGTCAGGGTTGTGTTAGGCGTTGTCATATTGATATAAACGATTCCCATATGCAAGCCCAATCAGTTATTTGAGTGAGAAAATCAAACTTCAGTAGAAATCTCTTATCGGATATCCTGAGTTGAAATACATGCTCAAACTCAGAAAATTTGACCGGATTTTCAATGAATAATAAATATATGCCTCCTGACCAATAGTGTGCGCCCTTTAGCATTTCCTACTTATTGTTTAGCCTTGAAATGACATATCTGACTAATGTAGCCTATCAGTTTGTCGCAGCCCAAATACCACAGCAATAACATCATAGTCAGCCAAGGTGAATGGTTTGAATTCCGCAAGAAGCATCAGTCCCCTCAGAATTGTAGGTCCTCCTTGCTAACGATCCTCAACTAGTACGAAACCTGGGTCACTTAGGGTTTTCTACCGACTACCTTCAACCATCCAACAATTAAGATTTATGCAGCTTCAATAAATTACTTTCACAAACCGACAACAATAACTTACCATGCTCCATACCTCCAATGTAAACGTCAACAGGTAAACTATTAGCTGCTTTACTTCTATCACAAATCGATGAATTATTCTGCGGGTCCAAATATCGCAAATAATACCATGATGAATCAACAAATGTATCTAGTGTATCAGTTTCACGGTTCGCTGGATTACCACATCTAAAATTTTAAAAACACTTAAACCACATAGATTGGTGCATATATATATTTATCGTATATTAGTTACTAGTTTTAAAATGGGTTTCCAAATAAAGACATACTCTAATACTTGGTAATTAATGTTCGTATTTTGGACCTTACAAATGTAAATTGTTTCTAAAAGACTGGGTCATTTTTCGCATCGTCCTGATGTTAATCTGTCTGTAAAAGGTCGGTTTTACAACGACCAACTGCGGGTAGTTCTGATGTACATCTGAAACGCGGCCACCATGATCTGAGAATGCTCGGCACATTTCTGTAATATAATCAACTTTGATGAAAATTTCCCCAGGAATGTAAGACAGTTACATAACTGACATATTGATCTATCGTAACTGTATGGGTAAATTCCTAAAAATTACGCAATTCAGTGGCTAGAAACCTTACCAAACGTGACTTGTAATATGAACCAGTGGCAACTCTGTATTTAAAGACGGTCGTTGTGTCCTAGCATGGGACTCCTCAGCAATACATATCCACGATCCCGCGCGGGAGATTCGGACCCGGGGCCTTCGGTCTCGCACGCGAACGCTAAACCTCTAGATTACTGAGCCGGCATCCAACGGTGTTAATGTCTAACTTCAACCAATCCACGAAATTGCGCTTCCAAGTTATCAATGGTGGTTTAACATTGATCGACTCACGATCTCAATCTAATATATCTATTTCTATCAACAAATGCGAGAGTAATAACCACACAATAAATACTATTAAGATGAACACTACTTATATAATTAGTTATGGAAACCAATTTAATTTGAGATCATTCTCATCATAGACCATAATGAATTCTTGACAAGGTACTGATTTTACACTGCTGAAGGTTCTCGAACCAAGATGAAACATAGGCTCAGTAATTCCGACATTACAATAGATAAGTGAAATGGAGATTAGCAAAAAAACTCAAAATAACAGCTTCCTTACTTAGGACAAGTTGTTTTACGCCAGGATTCATTATGCTTTAAGGGCTCATCACCTCGTTTCAATGAACTTTCTAGTGGAGGTAGAAGTACAGGGAGTTGGTTTTCTGGTACTGGTACTGCCTATATATATTTAAAAAATATAAAATGATTGAATAAAAGAATTTGTAATTTAATTACATATATAGGACCAATATTTTTCAGTAATCACACAGGAGATGACATATACTATCCAGCTACATGTATACCTATCCATTGCTTGCCACAACGTAGTGTTAGATGACATAGAAGTAGATTGGAAAGGAGTCGTCAAACCAAGTGTATGAAATATTCACTGCTGGTTTGAGCCATTTCGACAAGTGCAGATTAACTGATTGGAAACTGTTAGGGACGTTAGATCCACAGAACTCACTTGGAATAAGTCCTAATTTTGTAATTTTATTCTGAAAATTTGAATTTTTTGTTTTCGCGCCAAGAGCGCTCTTTTCACTTGGGAGAATCTTAAACGCTTTTGGTCCGGTGTGTCTTTTAGTAAGCTGTTTTGTAACTCTCCCCAAGTACGGTTTTGTGCTGTATATATACTTTTTGATTTGTGTTTGTTGTTATCGTTCGTTTCTGACTGTATGCGGAATATACTTCCACATTTCAAACTTGGACTTCTTCCGGTAGTTAGCGGGGCTGGGACGTATCGAATAGCTAGTTTATTGGTCTTTGGTCACCGAGTCTTTGTTACGTTCGCAGATTAAGTGAACTCGTAAACGCTTTAAACCTAGCAGAAATATTGAATGGTATGGCTTAAAATCTGATGTAGTGATGTAAATAAATTCAAACTACGATTTCTGCGACATTTTGAGTTTCCATATTATTTCCTAATTTCTGTTGGGCCTTTTAATCTCGTCCCCTCGAACCATATTTTCTGTCATGAATCTTTTTTGCCAGCATCAAAACTACAACTAGTTCTATTATTGCTGATATTTACCTTGTTAATTTCATCTCTCTGTTCTGATAGGGTGTAGAAACTTGAGCAAATGTACGTTCGTACCATACCAAAAGTCCTTCTTGGGTTACTGGAGGTCCCAAGCCTGAGAAAAAGAAGGGTCGAGGATTGGGTTAGCATTTCCATTCCGTGAAAAAGAAATGTTTCCCCACATTCTTCACGCCACTTCCAACTAATAATTACATCCAGTCCAGTTGAATCATTGTGTAATATACATTAATAAACATTAAGTATATTATTAATTATTTATTACTTGAACACATACATATTGGTATGAGAGTGAGCCAAATATATGTGCGATAATGCCCAAGACGTGCAATCCGCACTTAATCAGTTGGCAATCAATGCCCGTAAGTATGGTATGTGCTTTGCACCTTCCAAGTGCAAAGTACTTCTACAAGACTGGCAGGATTCTAATCCTGTACTCACCCTGGATGGTGAGCAGATAGAGGTAGTCGAGAAGTTCGTGTATCTAGGTAGCTGCATAAGTGCTGGTGGGGGTGTGAGTGATGAGATCAATGCACGTATAGTGAAAGCCAGAGCGGCTTATGCCAATCTGGGCCACCTTTGGCACCTTCATAATGTTAGGCTGGATATAAAAGCTCGGATCTACAACGTGTCGGTGAGAGCAGATTCGCTCTATGCTTGTGAAGTCTGGGCTCTCCGAGTTGAGGATGTTAGACGACTCTCTGTGTTCGATTATCGTTGTCTCCGAAGGATTGCTGACATCCAGTGGCAACACCATGTCAGTAATGAAGAGGTTCGGCATCATGTGTTCGGGCACAGAGATGATAATTTAATTGGTGTCACCATCTTGAAACACCGACTTCGGTGGCTTGGACATGTTCTCCGAATGTCGTCCCAGAGAATTCCACGTCGTGCATTATTTGCCGACTCTGGGACTGGTTGGAAAAAGTGGAGAGGTGGTCAGTACATGACATGGTGTCGTGGTATGAAAGAAAGCTGCAAAGGACTGGCTTGTGTTGGTGCTTCACGACTCCCTGGTTGGGGTCTGAGAGATGGTGCAACACAGTGGCTAGAGACGTTATCAGATATGGCTCAGAATAGAAGCCAGTGGCGATCCTGCTGTAACGTTCTTTTAGTTTCTTCGTAAAAAGTGGTTGTATCTTCCTTAACTGAAAGATTTCTTATGATTGTACCTTTCTGTTCCCCCACTATTACTATTATTATTATTACACTACCTTACATCAATGTCTTCGTTATTGCTCTTTTTTACGTTGCTTACTTTTTTTCTTTTCTCCTTCTTAGATTCTCATTGTTTTGTGTGACGCATATATCTTTTGCGCACTCCTGTACCAATATATATGTGTTCAAATGAATAAATAAAATAAACCGAGTAAGCGATGTCTGTGTTAGGAATAGGGTGTTAGGTAAAGATCGCAAATCTTTTGACGAGGTAGTAAATCTTCATCAGTTGAGGTGGTTGGGACACGTGTTATGCATACCTAACTACCAGTGTCTACCTCGACCAGCGATGTTGTCTGGTTTACGAATAGGCTGGGAGAAAGCTAAGACACGATAAACCAACGCATGACATCAGTCCATGAAATCACTGACCACAAGAATGAGCCATATAAATGAGTGTGGTCTATCTGATTGGAGTCCACAAAATCGATTGAAATCACACATGTGGATTCATTCTCTATCTTCCTCGAGATTCTGAGCTTCTGATTTCCTCATAACACTTTTTGTGCTTCTATTTCACTAATTTATATTTTCTTCTCGAATCGTATCTTCGATACCTAATTTTTTCTATTACCATTGATGCAGTTACTATATCTAATATTCTTGGGTTTGTTCTGTCAATTTCATGTGTCCGTGCTAATGTGGCATAGCAACTTGAACCGATGTATACACATACTAGGTTCTACACTACGACTGATTGATTGAATGGATTAAACTCTCCAATACACAAAGCATCTCCTAATTAGCAGTGAGTGAATGAACTGGAACAAAGGTTTTTAATCCCCTACTGTTAAACAGTCAAGTCAATAAAACCATCAATTATAGTTCAGTTTTTGCTCTCAACTACTTCTGTCAACTTATATGAACCCATTAATAACAAACATCTTCATCTATCTAAATTCAAACATTTCAGTTTAATTTCATTGTAATGATGAAGTACCAGAAACAGATAAAAGAAAATCATCTCATAAGTAATATATATATATATATATATATATATATATATATATATATATATATATATATATACCTTACCCCACATGAATCACAATGTATAATTGGTATAGGAGTGCCCCAATAACGTTGTCTAGAGATTAACCAATCAGTACGCATATCATTACATCGATAACCACCACGTCCACTAACCTAACAAAAGAATGAGTAGTGAGAATTTTTACAAATTACAAATAACAAGATTTAAATATGAAATTTCACAGGTTGAAATCATGAGTCAGTTGAAGCTAGACCACCATTGAAAACCTGGAAGCACTGGACGGCCGTTTCGTCCTGGTATGGGACTCCTCAGCAGTGCGCATCCACGATCCCGCACCACGCGGGGCTCGAACCCAGGACCCACTGGCTTCGCGCGCGAGCACTTAACCACTAGACCACTGAGCTGGCATCCAACGGTGTTAATGTCTAACTTCAACCAATCCACGAAGTTGCGCCACCGTACACCATTGGATGCCAGCTCAGTGGTCTAGTGGTTAAGTGCTCGCGCGCGAAGCCAGTAGGTCCTGGGTTCGAGCCCCGAGTGGTGCGGGATCATGGATGCGCACTGATGAGGAGTCCCATACCAGGACGAAACGGCCGTCCAGTGCTTCCAGGTTTTCAATGGTGGTATAGCTTCAACTGACTCATGATTTCAACCTGTGAAATTTCTAAAATTCTCCACAAAACCCATTCTGATAATAATTTAAATATGAATTTACATTAAAATATATCAAAACAAAAACTGTATTCTTTCTTAAGTTAGATTTATACTCTTAAATTTCTAATATACATTATGTTATAACGCCTGGATTTCCATGTCTACATGAATGGAACTCAGATTTACCTTTGATAAATATCTACATTAGATACCCCTTAAAATGTCGATTCTACAGAAACTTCAACACACAACTCAGATCAAGAATATATGACTAGCCTGACTAGAACATAAGTATATTTCCACATTAAAATCCGAAAACAATTACAATAATAGTAATAATAATAAATAATGAGGGTAAGAAAATATATAACTCATATAATACCTATCAGACAATTTATTTTATTCTATTTTAACACAAAGATATTGGTACAAATAAGCACTAAATACATATGCGCTACACAAATTTCATTTGATATATGTGAGGGCTGTGATATTGATCGGATACCCAAACCGAAGCAGGTGGTTTTCTTAGGGGGCCACAACCGGAGTCTTCGGCCTGAAGGTATGATCCACGAGGCAGTGGAGCATTGTAAGGAGATGCAGTCCCATGGTAGCCGGTGACCAATAATTGGTTCATACGCCATTTTTCCCCCAGGGTACTGGAGTCCATGTGCACCATTAGTTTGGAATTAGGGTTTCCCAACTCCTCTAGGTGGACTCTCCATGTTCGCCAACCCGGTTAAAGCACCGGACATTCGCTTTTCGTCCTCTCATTTTCGCAAACAGCACCCCAGCCACGAGAAAGGCAATGAGTAGGACTTCCCTGGCAGAGGCTATAAACGCGTAGCCATGTGAGAGCATTTCGAGAGGGAGAGCAGACTCTCCCCACTCTCGGACGTACCAGGGCATTCGGGGGCTAAGTAAACAATCAATCATTCTCCTTGTCCGTACATAACTTTATTACTCTTGTTACAAAAACTTGCTTCATCTAAACAATGATTAATATAAGTAGATAGAACTAAGAATAAATATTGTTAGATTTGTTAATTTGCACGATATAAAACCAAAACTATTAATTCTCACTATAAGGAGAAATGAATGGTGGTTAACAGTGGAAGTCAGGACATGCGTCTCGTCTTATTTTAGGACTCGTTAGTTGAATGTACCTCCAAAGTTGCTGTTCACTCTGCGACTCAAACCCAGTACCATTCGATTTAAATACCATAAAACAACCAATGCAAAAATGTATTAATTTTCACATTGGAGAACTACAACAACCACCATCAAGAAGGTACAAGTGTTTATAAATATCTGCCTTAGCAAGATACTCAACATCCATTGGCCGGATACCATCAGCAACAGCCTTTTGTGGGAGAGAACAAATCAACTTCCAGCTGAACAAGAAATTAGGAAAAGACGATGGAAATGGATAGGACATACATTACGCAAATCGTCAAACTGCATCACGAGACAAGCCCTAACTTGGAATCCTGAAGGGAAGCGAAAAAGAGGAAGGCCAAAGAACACATTGCGTCGGATAATAGAAGCAGATATGAAAACGATGAATTACAACTGGACGGAGCTAGAAAGGATTGCTCAGGACAGGGTTGGATGGAGAATGCTGGTGAATGGCCTATGCTCCTTCACGAGGAGTAACAGGCGTAAGTAAGTAAGTTTCACATTATCATAAATCATTATATCTAAGTGATTATTATTTTCACTGGAATGTTTAATTCACTGGTTAAAATGAAAGATATGTGATGTTCTACGGCTCGATTTAATTACAATGTACACTTCCTAAAGTATAACGAAACCTATTTTATTCGAATAAGAAGATTGTAATGGAAAAAAAAACATTTGATTGATTATAATCTACACAAGTTATAGGTAAAAAAACATTTATCCTTTTGACCCAGACAAGCATATACAGGTAAAAACTTTGAGTGAGAACTTCATTGTCTTCCTTTATAATTTATTACCTACCGTCTATCTCTAACAAGCATGTGATATGTCTATACTCGTAAGTGTAATCGAACTTGAACCATACTTGGTTGCCTAAACCGGAATAATGAAATCAGGGCTTTAACCCATAAGTTAATAGTTGAAAGTTCAGTGCTATAATCATTAATCAATATCCTTAAAGCATGAAGAGACTTAGGGATTACTTGATGCAAACCAAATTAAAAATCAATGTGGATTCGTTTACATTTATATTTACCCTGTGATGAGGTAGTAACATAATGTAAATGAATTACTCAAATTATTTATCATACATTGCTCAAATGGGATTAATTGTTTCATATTGAGTTATTTGCTCTTTTTAATACTAATAATTAATCATAAACAGAATTTTCAGTATAGGGGTTGTGAAGATTTAGATCATAAAGTGATTGATGTTAGACCACCATTGAAAACCTGGAAGCACTGGACGTCCGTTCCGTCCTATTACGGGACTCCTTAGCAGTGCACGAACACTTAACCTCTAGACCACTAAGCCGTGGATTGGTTGAGGTTAGACATTAATACTGTTGGATGCTAACTCAGTGGTCTAGAGGTTAAGCGTTCGAGCGCGAGACCGATGGCCTTGAGTCAGAATCCCGAGGGCAGGATCGTGGATGCGCACTGTTGAGGAGTCCCACAATAAGACCAAACGGCCGTCCAGCGCTTCCAGGTTTACATAAATGAATGATTTATGATAGAGATTACAAGAATTTATAGATACATTGTTTTTCCATTATTCATGAAATTTTTATGTTGTTTAAGGGCTCTAGTCATGTCAAACGATATAAAGAAATATCCCTTTGATCTCATTTATATCTACATTCATTTCCGCATTCATAAATGAGTGTCTTTCGAAAGAATTCAACATCTTACTTGTATTCAACAATGATTTTCGAGCTAAAATTAATCATTGTATGATTGATAATAAACATCCTATTTTGAGATATGAGCCATGACTTTGAAGTCCTTTTCTCAATCCTAATTGAATTTAACTAAATGTGTAACAGTATAATCATTATTATTTTACTATAAAAACTCACTCTAATCAAATAATAAGTCAATTCATTGTACCAGCCAATTCAAGCAACTACTACTACTACAAATATTTATTCTTTAATAACCATTATCATCGAAACAATAAAAAGGAACTCAATTGATCGATATTAATCAATTAAAATCAATAAATATAAATCACTGGACATGCAGAAAACAACACAACAACAATCATTATACAAAGAATAAATAAGTAGGAAATACAGAATAGGGAAAATATAGGAACAAAAAGGGATAGAAGATAGCAAGGAGAAAAAAAGGAAGGACAACATAGCAGAACACAATATAAAGAATTAGAATCGTAGTGAATACATAATTATAAGTGAAAAGGTTTACAAACCAAAAAAAACAGTTCAGAAAATACTATTCAACATATTATTCTACTATGTAATTGGCCTTGAACCACATTATCTGGGTAATGACTGCATGAACCGAAGTGACTGAAATGGAGTTTGAACCTATGAACTATTAGTTGGAATCAGAATGGGTTTTGTGGAGAATTTTAGAAATTTCACAGTTTGAAATCATGAGTCAGTTGAAGCTAGACCACCATTGAAAACCTGGAAGCACTGGACGGCCGTTTCGTCCTGGTATGGGACTCCTCAGCAGTGCGCATCCACGATTGGAAGTTAAGTGTTTTAGAGATATTAAGCAGGGAATCTTGAATTTAGGTTTCACGATAGTTGCTACTTATCAGTAATGTGTAACTACAATCATAAGTGGAATGATATCCTTTCTACTGTAGTGCAATATAACCGATGAGATTTAATAACCTTTAAAAGAACTAGACAAATACGATATTGGTCATTGGATAATGAACAGTTAATCGTAAAATGTGACAATCATATAACTAATAGTTTGGTCTAAAATTGATATTTGCCTAAATAGATCCTGAGATCTTAATATACTATTGTTTACATAACGTAATGTTAGATAAGTATACCATATGTATCCATAAAACTTATGATTATAGCAGAAATTTTGTTGCACTAAATATCTTAGATGATTAGATAGAACTATGTGCTTTTAATATGATCAGTATCTACAATTTTCTAAGTCAACTCTGTCATATACATGCTGTTTACTATAGGTTGATATCATACTTTAACTCCGCTTGTAGCTCTTCTACAGTTACTGCCGGTCCCATGCATGGGCAAATGGGGAGGGTTGAGCATGGGGTTAGCGACCTCTAAATACAATGATGAAATGCAAATATTAAATGTTATGAAGGATAATACTTTTGGAATTGAATCACAAAACACCCATGATAAGCACGACCCGACATTGATTCACAGTGATTTTGCTCATTTAATATTTATCATCATCTAAATATTGACTTTAGTACACTTTTCTACATCTTCATTATCACTTTGAAACCCTTACACTGTATCACATGTTAACTTCAATACTTTCTTTTCCCAATATAAATTGGGGAAATTTGGGCTACTATGCATTTATCCTAAATTCTATTGCAGTATCCTATGACTAATTAAAATCTATACATAATACATTGTACAATAGAACAATTCTTAATTCAAATCAATTTTGAACTGTAAAATTCACTCATAAAACAATTGATTGATTGTGTTGTCCCGTTGTACTATTCAAACTTGGATTAATTTTAATTTGCTTATTTATTTACTCTGAAGAAATGACTTACACTAAGTGACGAAACGTCAGAAAATCTAATTGTTCTACTCATTGCGATATCTACAAATATATTACTTTTATTTATTTATAACAATCTACCCAATGCTAAATTTATTCGAAATTATCAAATCAAACCTTAGTAATGATATCTACAATTAACTAAATGGTTTAGCTTAACTTACCTTTAAGATTTGCATAGCTTTATCCATAGATTCACCAACTGTTTTCCCATGAAGCTTTTAGAAAAATTAAGCGTGAAAAAAAGGTCATTGATATTTTCTCTCATATGGGAAATTAGTTTTTATTGCCTGAAATGATTAGAATTAGGAAGAACTACTAAGCTGTCTATTAGTTTGTTGAAACATTCGATCTTGAATCAATGAGGAGGCACCAAATATATGCGCCCGAACAGATGCAGGTGGTTTTCTTAGGAGACTACTCCCCAAGTCTTAGATCTAAAGATCTAATCTATAAGACATTAAAACAACGTTAGTAAATGCAGTCCCATGATAACCGGTGATCAACAATAGGTTCATACACTATTTGTTCTCTTAAGATCCTGGAACGCACGTGCACCATTGGTTTGGAATCAGGGTTTACCTATTCCCCTAGGTGGATCCTCCATACCCACAAACCCGGTTAAAGAGCCAGACATTCGCTTTTCGTCCTCTCAACTTCGTAAACAACACCATCTCGAGAAGACAGTGAGTAAGACTTCTCTGACAGTGGCTGTATATGTGTGGCCATGTGAGAGCATTTCAAGAGGTAGAGTGAACTCTCCTCACCGCCAGCCGTACCACGGCATCTGAGGGCATGTGGAAGATTCAGAGTGCTAAAAGGTTATCACAGTAACTAATTAAATGCAACTAGGAATTACTTTCTAAGTATATCAATTTACTGTACATATAAACAAGAAATATATATAAATGATAAAAATAATGAGATCCCTCTCTGTGTTGTATGTGGATAGAAAAAATAAATTAATAAGTAATAATAGATTAATATAAATAGTGGAGTTATTTTGAAACGGCCAAATTAGTGACATTTCATCCGCGAGATTTTGATTGAAATCAGATCCGAAGCGCCAAATACAAATTCACATGAAAACTATATGTTTAGTACCTCAGTAGATGAACTCAGAAAAAGTATAACGAAGCATAGGATCAAACGTTATGATGGGGCAGCAGCTCACTAGCTAGGGCATTCGATCTTTAGCAACTAGGTTCAGGGTTAGAATCCCAACCAATCTTATTCGAGTTGAGCAACCGGCTAGTAACATTGGTCTGCACACATAGGGTGTGGTTCAGAACTATGTACATGGATCTATACCTGGTAAGCGAGCTATTCTTTCACTTTAGTTAATGTTAACACTCATTTGCCAAAACAGAAGTAGATGGAGTGAGGTTTACAACCTCGATCCAATAGTATTGATTAAAATGTAAGTAATTCACGTAATAAACTATCGCTGCACTATGCATCAACCAAATATAAAATGTCAATAGACTGGTCGACAAAAACAACATATTTTCAGTTCTATTGATTGGTAGAAGTAATAGCGTGTAATGAGGTAGTAGGCACGAGGAAAGTTAAAGGTGTTCAAACAAAAACATATCATCAGTCCATCAAGTCATTGACTGTTAGTATAAACCATATCGCTACATGCAGACTATTTCATTGCCGTTTGCATGATAAGCATGGTTGGTGGTTGAAGGTTTTGAGTGATAAGGTTCAGAAGTGTTTGTAACAGTGCAGACCCATTTACTTTTTATCTTCCACATAATTTTTAGAAAATTCCAGTATTCCTCCATATAAACCATTCTACTCTATCTTTTAAGACCATAATATCAAAGTTAAGTCATTCTTTATATTATTATTATTATTATTATTATTACCACATTATTTTGATCTCTTTTGATGTATTCATCTCACTGTGATAATAAGGTATTGAAACTTGTTCCATGCTCTATTTCGGTGATATCTATCTGTACAATAGAAACGAAAGTCAGAATGGGTTTTGTGAAGAGTTTTTTTTAGAAATTTCATAGGTTGAAATCATGAGTCGATTGAAGCTAGACCACCATGGAAAACCTGGAAGCACTGGACGGCCGTTTCGTCCTAGTACGGGACTCCTCAGCAGTGCGCATCCACGATCCCGCACCACGCGGGGCTCGAACCCAGGACCCACTGGCTTCGTGCGCGAGCACTTAACCACTAGACCACTGAGCCGGCATCCAACGGTGTTAATGTCTAACTTCAACCAATCCACGAATTTGCGCCACCGTACACCATTACGGGATCGTGGATGCGCACTGCTGAGGAGTCCCGTACTAGGACGAAACGGCCGTCCAGTGCTTCCAGGTTTTCAATGGTGGTCTAGCTTCAATCGACTCATGATTTCAACCTATGAAATTTCTAGAAATAAAAGTATTAAATACTTAATTTCGTATTATTGCAGGAAAATGTTAAACGATATTTTATGCAATTTCGAGATGTTAGAGAAGATTTGTAGATCAGGTGGATGATTTTGATGGAGTTTTGTTCTCCGAGCTGGATGATTTGGTTGTGGAGCTTTCATCATCATGATGATGAAAGCTCCACAACCAAATCATCCAGCTCGGAGAACAAAACTCCATCAAGATATTTTACACACATAAATTGAAGTACATACAAACAAACAAACAAAAATGAATTGTTTTTTTACATACTTCAAAGATTGGAGTGGATAATATACAACATTTCAAATCCTCCTCATTATTGATAACATTAGATTCATCTAAATTTAATAAATCTTTTCCTGGAGAAATTAATTTTCCTGGTGGTAAAGGTATATCTAATGATTCTGATAAGAAGTCAGATGTTTGACCATTTATAGAAAAGACTAATGACAATTAAAAAAGATTGGGGGAAAAAAATATTTGAATGGAAGTAATATGTATATAATAGTTAAACAATTTAACAAAATGAAATTAAGATAAATCAATTATTAACACATTACTTTCAATGTGGTGGCATGAGTGATGAGATCGATTCACGTATAATGAAAGCCACACAGGCTTATATTAATCTGGGCCATCTTTGGCACCATAATGTTAGGCTGGATATAAAGGCTCGGATCTAAAACGTGTCGGTGAGAGCAGATTCGCTCTATGCTTGTGAAACCTGTTCTCTTCGAGTTGAGGACGTTAGACGACTCTCTGTGTTCGATCATCGTTGTCTCCGAAGGATTGCTCACATCCAGTGGCAACACCATGTCAGTAATGCAGAGGTTCGGCATCGTGTGTTCGAGCACACAGATGATAATTCAATTGGTGTCACCATCTTGAAACACTGACTTCGGTGGCTTGGACATGTTCTACGAATGTCGTCCCAGAGAATTCCACGTCGTGCATTATTTGCCGACTCTGGGACTGGTTGGAAAAAGCGAAGAGGTGGTCAGTGTATGACATGGTGTCGTGGCATGAAAGAAAGTTGCAAAAGGACTGGCTTGTGTTGGTCCTTCACGACTCCCTGGTTGGGGTCCAAGAAATGGTGCAACACAGTGGTTAGAGACGTTATCAGATATGGCTCAGAATAGAAGCCAGTGGCGGTCCTGCTGTAACCTTCTTTTACGTTCTTCATAAAAACTGACCGTAACTTTTTTGACTGAAAGGATTCTTTCTGGTTGTACCTTTCTGTTTCCCCCATTATTATTACTATTTCACTACCATACACTAATTTGTGGTCGTTATTGTTCCCTTTTCTTCTTTTTACACTCACATTACATCCTTTATCTCTCTCCATTCTCATCATTATTGTGTGGTGCATATGTATCTGGTGCCCCCTTGTACCAATATTTATGTGTTCAAATAAATAAATAAATACTTTCAACGTAGTAGTATATGGTCAGTTATATTTAGAAAATAATTTCTGATAGTGTGGTGTGAGCTACTTATATCCACATAAGTAGTATATGATGATAGTCAGGAGTAGAATATATTTCAGTAGATCATGGAGGAAAGAACGAGAACGGAAAGTAATTGGTAAGCAAATGCAGGAACAATAAAATCTGAGGCAATTGATTGATATTATGCAAATTAGATATTTACTGTCTGATTCTCAGATTTTACTAAGTGATTCTGTAATTTTGTGTTGGAATATGTTCGATCGTCCTCCATTTGTGTTCTTGTTCACTACAATAGTATATACACTTACAATTCAGAGGCGGTACACCTGATGAAATCCTAATACCGAAGTTACGCAGATCAATCCAAGGAACTTTTAATGCAGGTAAACTACAATTAATGTTTTCCACATGTCCAATGATCACTTCAAGGTTGAAAGATAAATTGCCTAGACTAGCCACTTTTTTCTGTATCTATCAATTCAACTGCTCCTATGGAGCAAGTTATATTGGCAGATGTTCTAGAAATGTGTATATTCGGGTTCGTAATCACCTCCCAGTGTGGTTAAGTAAAGGTGTACTTAAAACGGTTGACAGTTCCATTTTAGCCCATTTAATTCATACTAATATTAATAAATTTATCATGTATATTAGATTCTGCTTTGCTTATGACTAACCGATAGGTGTAATATTGTAGGCTATAAACAATTGTAATCATTGAATAAAATAATTATTTCATCTCAAATGATAAAGACTAACCGATGACTTTATTAGAGTAAAATAAACGATATGGAAAATCCATCTAGAGGAGTTGGAAAATCCTGATTCCAAACCAATGGTGCACATGGGCTCCAGGATCCTAAGGGAACAAAGGGTGTATGAACATACTGTTGGTCATTGGCTACCATAAGACTGTATCTCCTGACGTTGCTCCACAGCCTTGTGGATTAGACCTTTAGGTAGAAGGCTCAGAGTGTGGTCCCCGAGTTTAGGCACCCGGACAGTATCCAAGCCCTCACACAAATTGAATGATTTATGTGGCGTACATCTATTTGATACCTTCTTGTACTAATGTTAATGTGTTTAAATAAACAAATATATAAAATGACCTAAGTGAAGAAAGATCATTAGTTGCTTGAACTATTTCACAAAATGAACTAATTACTCTATTTTTAAAAAAAAAGAAAATAATCATCATCATCATCATCATCATACCTAATTCATTTGGATAAGCTCTAGGAAGTTTAGATAATGGAATATTTTCACGAATTATTGGAATAGAACGTCCGGTAAATGGATGACGAATAAATATGTTTAAAATTTCCGGCCAAGGTGATACAGATGTAAATGATGTAATAGATAATTTATTATTACTATCATTATGACATGAATTATTCCAGTCTGAGTATAAGATTAACTTTCGACTAAAGTTTAAATCACGTTTATGCTCAGGCTATGGATAATAAATAAATAAATAAATAACAAATTAGAAAGTGAGACATATACAAACAACTATATGAACATTAATTATCTAACTGAATACAGTATAATTAATGTCAGTCAGCTACAACGCAGGACCAAGCACATATATGCATCGATTCAAGTTGCTATACCACATTATCGGACAAAGTGGACGCCCCCTTCACCTTCGCCTACATGAACATCAATTAGCAGTCAAACGGCATGATATCTCTTCACTTATCTCAATACACGTGGACAACTGCGGACACTCATTCGACTGGAAAAATGTGGAAATCTTAGACAGAGGAAACTCCAAAAACACCAGAGAATTTTTAGAAGCCTGGCACTCAGGTCAATCAGCAATCAACAAGCATATTGAAATCAATCCAATTTATCAACCAATCAGAAAAATCATGCATAAATATAGGAACGAAAATCAAACCGATGGGAGACACAACTAAAACAAAGAAGTAAACAATGATAAATTCAGGGTCAATAAGAACCAATCAACATCGAGGTGCACAGAACAAGCTTTGAGACACATATGGAGAAATTCAAACTCTTCACTTCTATCTGAAGTTTGTGCTGATGATGTCGTTCAGAAGAACGATGAAAGCTCCACGACCAAACCATCCAGCTCAGAGAACAAAACTCCACCGAAGAAAGACATGAAGCAATTTTAATTTCATAGTTTAAGGGAAGATAGAGAGTATATACACCTACTCCATTGTGATCGATTTTGAGCCATTTCACCCACAGTCTCCAACTATTGATTACGATAATTACGCGGATCCCAACCAAATAGTCTGCATCTACTAACATGGCTTAGACTACAAGTTAGTGACTTCAAGCACTGATGCCACATTTTGGTTTGGCCGCCCCTAACTTTCTTCCAACCATAGTATAATGAATGAGTGGAAAATAAATTATTGACAAGTTGAGATTATCAATTTGTCACAAATTTTATTACAATTTCCCATCAATAAATCAGTAACTTAACATTACTTCAACGTTAATAAATGAATATTCAGTCCAAATGACCATAGTTTCTTTAAAAACTAACCAATAGGAATAATAATTAGGTATACAACTTGAAATTAAGTTTTATTACGCATTAGGTAACAGCAACACAGAACCATTGAAAAATTGGGGCATACTTGATGATTATTTGATCTTGACTAGAAATCTTTTTAGTCGTATGTACTAACGACACAATGTGAGACCTAACTGTAAGTTTTGAACTTAGTTATCAGACTCAGTTTCTTATGTGTTTATGAGTGCACATTGTTAAAGATCCACTAAGTAGGACAAAACAACCATTTAATCCTCCCTGATTTCTTGACAATTAATTTGTTGATATCTAGGCATGGTCGCAACAATAGTTAACAGAGATTCGTCTTTTCTTATAAAAATTAGGATAGCTATATGCACAGTTATTGGTGACAAGTGCCTACACGACAACGATACTTCTTTTGTCACAACATTCAGTAGCTCAAGAGATATCTGAAAATCCAGACAAATTTGATTATTAATGAGTAGTTGGTAACATTAAAATTTTTGTGTCCACAGGAATTAAATTGTGTGTTATTTGGATAGAAAAATATAGGAATCTATAGGGTTTATCGCATAAAATTATCATAAACATGGATGGTTAATAGAAATAATCATACGGCCGTGAAAATTGATATACGGGAATTTAGATCTGAGTTTTTATTTGATTCGTTGCCACTGAACTTATAAGACTGCAACTAGCCTTCTGTAAGTCAGTCAGTCAGTCAGTCAGCTACAACGTAGGACCAGGCACATATGTGCATCGGTACAGGTTGCCATACCTCATTAGCACAGCAAGATGAACAGCGGATTCATAGGAGTGGTTAGGTCAAAGGTTGCAATAAGGATATAGTATAGGAAGAAAGAATTAGTTCGTAGACAGAAAGAATGAAGTGATTTTAATCTTTTAGTTTAAGGGAAGACAGGAAGTGTATACACCGACGCCATTGTGATCGATTCTGTAAGACCAAATTACCGAGTGATTTACTGTATCTGATAACAGCATTACTAGATAATGGCAGACCGGTTAACATATATGCATCGGACGACCCTCTAATAGTCTCATGTGATGTCAGTTTTCCGGTTAGAAAATAACCAGTCAAATCAACAGTTTATCCAACACTAGTCACTAGCAAAGTCTTATACTGCTAAGGCGATCCAGGTCAAAAGTGATAGAAAGTGCTAACCAGCTACATTGAGTGAAATCACATATTTTATCATAGGTTGAAATCAAGGAAGAGTTGGTATTTTCCCTTAATGCCTTGGTTTTAAACTTAACGACGGTATGTTGAACGATGCACACTTGTTAATTAATTCTTAAACGTGGAAGAATAATTTCTTCCGCTTACAGTGGCTCCGTAAACAAACGGAGAGAAAATCCATGTTATTATCAACAAATTGTTACGATTACACAAGTAAAAAGAGTGGCATACCTTTCGATAGATATCTGAAAAATAAACACTATCCGGTCCAACTTTTACATGACTGATTAAATCAGCAACTGCTAGACTCGGATATTTTGTAAATACAACTAGTCGTTCATTTTGAGGTACGATATTCTTTAAATGTCCACAATCCAGAAATGATTGTTGTGGATTAATTTCATGGTGTTCGGTAGATGCATAAATATTGAACTCCATTTGAGTACCATTCAAATGACCAAGCCAACCACGTTGCAACTGGATGACATCACGCCACTGATTATTCTCAATATCTTTTAAACCATCTAAAAGAGACTAAACAATAGATATTAGAGGATTTAAAGATATTGAAATTAGTGTAAAGTGTTTCGCGGTCCAATTCAGTCACAACATACACTTTCTATGGTATAACACATTGTACAAATAAGAAGACGGAAACGAATAGGATAGTTTAATTACCAAGCCGAATTATAATCTACACAAACTTTAGGTATATACACGATTCGTCTCCTGACTTGAACAAAGATACGTAGGATGAAACCCAGGGTGCAGTATAATCGACTCCCTTAAATAGCGTGCCTTGTTTACGATTTCTCACCTATCATCTCACCTTGAGGTGACAAGAGCACAAGCACGTGACATAGCCATACTTATCCTGTCTGTCATGATAGTACTTTATTAATTGCAAATGAAGTAATAATAATGATATGAATAATACGACTTATATGCCAATGAAAACCATGCACTCAGTTGTTAATCATATTACAGGCGATAGTTGACCAAACTTAAACAAATGCAGTAAGGTTCAAACCCATAACTTTTACCTGAGAGCTGTACATCTCTGAAAGACCAAGGTTCCATTCCGCTCCAAATGAATAAAACAAAATGCCATAAACAAAAAAATGTACAACTGAAATATGAGTATCAAAAGAAATCACTTTATTGCACTGTTCTAAATTAAGTCGATAAAAACTAAACTACAATCGATACCCTATAATTAATTTTAGTAGATTTATCACTCATTTGCTGAATGAATACTGCAACCTTCTGACTAACCTAATACTTTATATTATCCTGTAGAATAATTCCGATAAAAATGATTTAAAACTTTTTTAGTACGCGATACAAAAAAAGCACATGAATACTATTCGATACATGTTAACATACCTCAGAATAAGCAGTTGTTCGGAAAAACCATTGACGTAAAGGACGTCGTTCTACTTTAGCACCAGAACGCCATGAACATCCTTGACTGTCAATAAGTTCATCTGCTAAGACAGTCTGATCAATAGGATCCCAATTGACATAGGCTGGACGATGATAAGCCATGCCCGATTGATATAATTTAAGAAAAAGCCATTGTGTCCATTTATAATAATTAGGATCACAAGTGCTTAATTCTCTTGACCAATCAACAGCCAAAGACATGGTTTCATTTATTTGTTGTTTCATTGTAAGTATGTTTCTGAAATAATACATAATAATACAACTATAGAAACTATGGGAACGAGCAGGTTAGAAATCGTAGGCGGGCAAACCAAGACGTGGGGTCGATCCATAGAACAACTAATTAATGAATTAAGTCATGTTGATGAGTACAAACTACATGATTAGGGTTTGAGGGATTATTGTAACCAATGGTTGGATAAGTTGGACAGCATGACTAAAAATCAGTTGCAATCGCATAGATAAATCCGCACTTTGTTTCTTCCTAGATCTCGAGTTTTTTTAATTACCTTGTACATTTTTATTCCGTGGATTCAATCTTCTTTCTCGAACTATTATGTCTGTGTCCGGGTGCCCAAATTGAAGCGAATAGTTTTCTTAGGGGGCTACAACCGTGTCCTTCGACCTAAAGGTCTGATCCACAAGGCAGTGGAGCAAAGTTCAGAAATGAAGTTCCATGGTAACCGGGGGCCGACGATTGGTTCATACGCCATTTGTTCCCTCAGGATCCTGGAGCCCATAAGCACCATTGGTTTGGAATCAAGGTTCTCCTACCCCCCTAGGTGAATCCTCCATATCCACCAAACCAGTAAAAGCGCCGAACATTCCCTTTCCGTCCTCTCGATTTCGTCTGGTGTGAGCGAAACAACCTGTGAAGATGATAGTTCAAAGTACTAACATCTATCAAAGTCTTGGACGATGAGGAGGGTTTTTGAGGAACAGTTCAACTGGTTTGCTGTCCCGGGAACATCGACCAGACTGTACTGCCCTCCATCGCCTATGACGATTGATCCACCTAACGAGGCGGAAGTCTGCAAGGAACTTCAACTCTTGAAGCGCTATAAATCACCAGGCCCAGATGACTTACCTTCGGCCCTTTTTAAAGATGGTGGTGACTTTCTAGTTAAAAAACTAGCCGAGTTGTTTACAACTTGTCTTGCAACTAGTGTTTCAACATCATGAAATGAGTTGATAGTTGTCCCTATCTTTAAAAGGGTTCACGTCACCTATGCAAGAACTATCGGGGGATAAGTCTACTTTCGATTAGGTCCAAACTATTGGCTTCCGTCATACTCCGCAGATTGTTCAAAACCCGAGGAAGATTGACACGAGAGGAGCAGCCTGGTTTTCATTCTGGTTGAGGATGTATTGATCACATCTTCACCCTCCACTAAATGTCAGAACACCGCCATACATCAGGGCCACCTAAGATTCGTTGAACAGGACTGTTCCCTGGGATTGTCTATTGAAGAAATATGTGCCTGAGACATCTATTAACATATTGAAGGCCCTAAATATATAAAAACCTCAGGCAGAGTGAAGGCATACAACCACTTCTCTCGATGGCTCCATTCAAGCAGAGGGGTTAGATAGGGTTACCCAATCTCATCATCCCTCTCCAACTTCGCTATCGATGACGTTCTGAAAGTAGCTCTGATGACGCATATGTATTTGGTGCCCCTTTGAACCAATATTGGTGTTCAAATAAAGTCAACAAATAATTAGTATTCAACTTTGTGTCAGTTGTCTTAAGATCACTAATCTCTGTCTAAATTTAATAAATCAGAAAAGCTATTAAGTACCTTATGGATCGATGTAACGTACTGAACTAACCATTACTTAAATTTAATACGAAGTAATATGAACTACGTTTAGAATTTCAAGTTGATTAAGTTGTAAGTCAGTTTCTAATACACTGAACTACCAGCTTGTCGGGAATGCTAACTAGTATAAATTATTTTTAAAGTGTAAGACAATAACCTAATAAACGTGCAGTGACAGCCATGCTTGAAGCTTAACGGCACCATATAGGAAATACTGTTTATATCCCTTTATGAAGAAAAAATTACCAGAATACACCAGAATGTAACTCATTTTATAGTATCGAGTGTAAAAACTTACAAATAACTCGTGCAAAATGTAATACATTCTGTCCCGCTATGCACGCCGAATTTGGCATATTTCACTATCTTTGAAAGTTACCTTTAACTACACTTCTTAACTTAATGAATCAAAACAAATGGAAAGACCGGTTTATTAGAGTTAAGTAACACAACTCTTAAAACCAATAAGGACTCAAGACCTAATGGCGTCCAACTCCCAGCCACTAAGTACTAGATTCGAACTCTGATCCACTTCGGTTTGGGCAACCAGGTAGTATCATCAGCCACCACACTCAGAATAAGATTCACGCCTACGTCCAGGGTGAATTGGTAAATTGAAATGGGTGATATAATTTATGGACGACCTTTGAGAGATGCTAGACTGACTTTGAGTGTCCACCTAATAACCAGGACCAAATGAGGGTTATAAACCTGTGTGAAGAATTGGAATTATGATTCACAGTTGATGATTAAGGTTAGGAATTGGATTTAGGGTTTCTATCACGGACTGACATCATCTACAACTCCAAAACTCTATTTATCCAATTAGATGAGTGAATTTCGTGCCAAAATCCGAGACCTGTTATCTTATAGGTGATTGGTTCGTCCATAAATTATAGTCTTGCCTTTAAATGTTTTGAATTAAATTTCATACACCAGAAGTTCAATTCAAATGCTGAATGTCAAAAACGGAAAAAGCCAAGTAATTTCATCAGTGTCATTGATTGCAAATATTTCTTACGTCGATTGACAGGTCAAGATTAACCGACCATAAGGGCATTCAAATAATCAAATGTACAGTGGGACCATCGAATGAAGAATGTCGACGTCAAATTTAAAGTAGTTTTCAGAAGTAAAAAACTATTGCAAGATTAAAGTACAGTGAAGAACCTTCATGTAAGAAATATTGGTAGTATAATGGTTGGTCTCCATTTTCTAATAAAACGATCAAACTAGCTATAATTAGTGCGAACTTCTTATGAAAACAAGACTTGAAGCGCTTTTACTCATTATTCAAAAAAGACATGCAAGAAAGCAACCGGACGACGGGGTCTGATATTGTTAGCTAACCGCAGTTAACACTGAGAAAATTTTAACAATGAAGTATAACAAGAGTACATTATCGGAAACATTTTGGACCGACCGAGTTCATATAGCCAGGTTCGAACGCCCAGGATTTTGGTGCCAACATATAGACTGCATACTCTTAGACTGACACAGGAGACTAAATATATGTAGCCAAAGCATACAAAACTTTTAAGAAACAATTTAATAGGCATATAATGTATGTATGAACTTCTGAATATGTTAGCTTACTTTCGGGTCCAATTCAATGGGTTTTCGCTACGATCAATAGCAGCATTCTCTGCAGGCAGACCGAATGAATCCCAACCCATTGGACAAATCGTCAACTCACCAGACATTGTTTTATAGCGGGTTAAAACATCTGAAACAGTATAAACTCGTAAGTGTCCCATGTGCAAACTTCCAGATGGATAAGGGAACATTGACAACACGAAGGACTTTTGTTTACTCACAGCTTTGTCCTGAATCTAGCAGTAATGACAAACGTTAACTTACACTTGAATTTTCGAAATCAACCTTCCGGATAACAGGTAGCCATTTTTGTTCTAATCTCTTCACATCGCTTAATCCGTGATAGGTCTATAAATCTTTTATGATATTTTGTTTGGTTAGCATTACGGAACTATTCCGAAGGGACGAGTAGCGCCTGTGCAGACGAATTCTCAAGAAACCCATGTAATTTTGGAAAGGAAACAGGTTTCAAGGTCATAAAATAAATAACAATTTAGCCAAAAAAAGCGTCACATATCACACTTCAGAAAAAAACAGTGTACCATTTAACCGGTAACTGGTCACTGAATCAATATTTAGCTTTAATTTCAGTTTGTCGGGAACGAGAGCGGAATGCTCTGTGGTAGTCATGCAAATAGAGGTTCAAATGGTTCAAATGGTTGTGGACGGAATAGAAGTTTCAGTTCCAGTTTCAGTTTGGGAAGGACAGGAGGCTCGATGGCCTATGTTAGTCCTGGCAATGGTGGTCTCTCAGTTGATCCAACTTTCTTTTGAAAGAGTCGACGGATGGAGCCTCAACCACATGCTGAGTTAGTGAATTCCACTCGTTGATGATTCGATGGGAAAGTCGATAGTCAACTGACAAGTAATTTGTTCTCGGCTTATGAACATTTTGGAGTGTCCTCGTAAATTCTCTGTTTTGGAAGACAAGAAAAATGGGGGCATGTTAGGTGCAAATTTATCACTAAGCAATTTGTAAACTGTAATCAAGTCGCCTCTAGTTCTGCGATATGACAACGGGAAAAGGTTCAGCTTGGCCAGTCGAGATTCATACGGAAGCTTCGCTATTCCGGGAATCAGCTTAGTCACCGTTCTCTGAACCTTTTCCAGAAGCTCACTGTCTTTTTTAAAGCAGGGGCTAGCCGCTTGTATGCAGTAATCAAGTTTAGGACGAACGAACACTGTATACAAAGTCAAAAACGTCTTAGCGTCGACATGACTAAAAGCTCTACGTATTGACCATAAAGTTCTAAAACTTTTGGCGGCTATTGCACGGCAGTGTGCAGTAGTCTTTAAGTCTTGACTAACGATAACTCCTAAGTCATTATATGTCTGGACGACAGGTAGCTCAGTGTTATTCATCGTGTATGTATCTGTGCCTTGATGACCGATATGCATCACAACACACTTGGAAGTATTTATCGGCAACTGCCATGTTTGAGACCATTCAGATAACTTCTTCAGGTCATTTTGAAGTTCTAAGCTATCACTCTTACATCGTATCGTTCTCCATATCTTGACATCGTCAGCATATAGCAAGACCGATGGTGATAGGAGACAAGGAAGGCCATTTACATACAAGAGGAATAGCACTGGCCCCAAAACTGTACCCTGGAGCACTCCACTAAGCACAGCTTCCCAGCTAGATAACTTGGAGTTCACCCGAACTCTTTGTTGACGCCCAATTAAGAAGTCTTTCATCCACATTAATACATTGCCTCCAATCCCGACTTTTCTTAACTTATATAACAGCCGGTTGTGCGGAACTTTGTCAAAAGCTTTACTGAAATCAATGAAGGCGACGTCTACAGGTAGCTTTTGGTCCTTAAAAGCGCACCAGCTTTCACGAGTCACTAATAAGTTAGTGAGGCAAGAGTGACCTATTCTGAAACCGTGCTGCTTCTCCGAGAGGATCCGGTTTTTATCGAGATACATAAACAGCTCCTTCCGAATAATCTTTTCTAAGATTTTAACAACCACACTAGTTAGGCTAACGGGGCGGTAGTTCTCAGGTTTGTGTTTCGTACCTGTTTTGAAGACAGGACTTACTATGGCGTTTTTTCAGTCTTTTGGTAAACGACCCTGCGTAACGGATAGGTTGAAGCATGTACTTAAAGGGCTTGCAACGAAGTTAGATAATTCCTTCAGTAGCCTAGGGCCCCATGGATTTACCTTTATCAAGCTTATTTAGCAGACCAAAGAGATCGAGTTCTTTAATGGTCACACTATCCAGTGTATGTGTGGGGGATCTGTATGCGCTGACGGGAAGGGCGCTTCTATGGTATATACATTGCTAAAGTAGTTTGAGAACAAGAGCCTTACCAAAATCGTCCACCACTAATGATGCGGCAGTACTGTCTCCTCATAGAGCAGGAATATTTCCCCTTCTCTTTGTCCTTTGTTTTATATAGGAATACAAGCGTTTAGGACATTCTATGGATTCCTTAACAAGTGTTTCTTCATACAATTTTCTAGACTTACGGAGGGTCGAGGCACAAGTATTCCGAGCCTTTCGATACTGAGATTTTGACTCATCAGTCCCCAGTAACCTAAATCTATCCCACATTTTCCTCCTCTTACGGAGAAGGATACGGACCTCCCTACTGAACCATGGTGGGGAGTTTCTCGGCCTATTTGGTATAGTCCAAGGGATGTGAGGTGTGGTAACTGTTAAGTGTGTATTTCGAAATGCGTCTAAAGCCGTTTCAATTGAGGACTCTGGTCTATTGTCCAATCTTTTAACGATGTTGAGTGCATGATATCTGGTATGTTTGTTTTCCAGAAGTTAGGTCTGGATTGGACTGACGCGTGCTCGTGACCGGCAGTTACATGGAAGTCGAAAGTTAAAACTGCGTGATCACTTTTACCTAAAGGTGGCATATGATGGAGGTTCGCAACATCATCCTCATTGTGAGTCATTATAAGATCTAATAATGATGATTCAGTGACCGGATCATACCTTGTCGATTCTTTCACATGTTGCACTAGAGCACATGTGATAACCCCATCAACTAGTTCCTGCTCGAAAGAATTCTCCGATGATTTAGTTCACAGATTTTTCCAGTCTACCATAGGTGCATTGAAGTCCCCTAGTATTAAACAACGATCACTTTGGGACCAAGTATTGAGACTGCTTAACAGGATCTCATTTGCCTCACAGCTTGGACTGCGATAGACCAAACCAATCAGCAGCTCTTGTCCCTTGCATTTCAAGTGGCAACTAACTAATTCACACGTCCCACTCTCATGAAATACACTATCGATAATGGCAAATGGGATAGCATTCCTAATGAATAGAGCTACACCCCCTCCTTTGCGCTTTTGTGTTCTGTCGGCCCCTATTAACGTTAAACCCTCGGAATCAAGTTCCATACTATCTATAGCCTGTGTCAGCCAGGTTTCTGTTACTGCAATTATGTCTGGATTTGTAGAGTCAATCTGTACACCTAGTTCCGATCGCTTATTAAGTAAGCTTCGTGCATTGGTGTAACAGATCCGAAGCCTGTTTAAGTGCCTTCGTGCTTCACCCAGAGTGGCTTCGGCATCATTCCCTGTCGAAGTCTTACAACCCGAAAATTTACAATTTTCAGGTCCTTTCCGTCAGCGTCTAACCCAAGTTGTAGTTCTTTCTCGGCTTCCCGTCTTTTAACACGGTCTGCCAACGGTAGGTCCTTTCGGATAAAGACTCCTGAACCCTTTAATTTGTGTCCATTCTGTAAAATTAGGTCACGTTCGTTCGAAGAGCTGAATACTACTTGGAGCAGTCTGGAATGATTTGGTTTCAAGTCCGCTAGACTCCCTAGTCTGTACACCTGTAGCAAGGTGACCCCGATCATATTTTGAGGCATGAGTTGATTAAGCAGCTGCCTAATCAACACAATGTCATGCTCAAAACGAGATTTACGTTCAGAGCTCTTGTGATATTATGGTCTACTATAATATTATTACTGCTCTAATAATAGACCTAATCCTAAAATTGTAAATTTGTGATGATATAACTGCCTAATCTATAAGATCTTACGTGGAAGTCACACCATCGACTACATCAACTCACTGTATCGTATCAATTACCAATACATTATGTAGAACAAGGTTAGGCTAGAGAAGGGACAATATATTTAATATGAATAGAAGATATAAGGTAACATTCAGCAGGGACCACGCCTGCATGGCCGAGCCATGCCATCCGGTCAACTCCAATTCATTCAACTCCTTGTTCGCGCCTTCTCCATCGTTAGGTATTTCTCCGTGTTAAATATTGAATATCTATTTTCCGAGTAGTCTCGTTTTCAGCTTTGGGGATTGTGTGGTTATTGTCCAATGCCACTACACTCTCGCTCTCCTTGATTCTATGAAAAATAGCTGATCCAATGCCACTACAACTTCACCTGTTGAGGAAGATCATTTATGTAGATCAAGAAGAGAAGAGTTCATAGTATTGAGCCCTGGATGACCCCACTAGAATATTCCATAACCTGAGATAAAGTAAAGTTAACCCTGACCTTAAAATGTCAATTTTTCAGACATGAAGTAAGCCAATCAATTAGAAATGGTCTGATATCAGTCGTTTGAGCTTATTGATAAGACATATATGGTCGACCCTATCGAAAGGTTTTGAGAAATCAAGGTAAATGATATCAACTTTCCCACTGCGGTCGAGGATGGTTGTGCATCTGTCCACCTCAATCAGCAGGCTGGTTATACAAAAGTAACCCTTCTTGAAACCATGCTGTTGGGTGAGAAGAAACTTAAGGACAGTAAATAGTCATTTATACCATCGCATATCAAGGACTTCATGATTTTTGAAGGTAATGAGAGAAGAGCCGACGGTCGGTAACTTGAAGTTTCGCTGCGTCGACCTCCTTTACAAATTGGTGCGATGTGAGCCAGCTTCCAATTTTCGGTAGTTTTCCTCGGCCTAGCGAGTGCGAGAACATCACGCCAAGCGGTGTTGCCAGGATTGAGGCTGCTTTCCACAGTATGGCAGAATAGATCATTTCCGGGCCAGGAGACGTGTCTATTCTCAAGTGCTTCAGTTTCCGGAACACCAAGTCAGCGCACAGGTTCACTTCGGAAAGTCTTTTGGAGTTGCAGATGAACTTTTTATCAGTATAGTTGATGTGGGTCGGTTGAATTGTCTGAGAGTATTGTTTAGCCAGAAGGTTAGCGGCGTCGCCGTCGTCGTTGGTCGGGCCCTTAAGACCTAGCAGTTGGGAAACTCCCGTTTTGGCTTGACGAAGAGAGGCTGTATAACGCAATAAGCTTCCCGGATTAGGGACAAATTTATCCATAAGCTTTATATGGTACTGAAGCCTGTTTTCTCTTATAGCCTTCGTGCATATGTTTCTTCTATGTTTGTATTGCCTGTACGCTCCGTTGTTGTCAGCTCGTTTGTATTCTGCCCAACAGTGCCTTTTGCGGCTTAGCAAGCGAAGTGTGCGGTTCTTGATGATTGTGGGTTGCTGATAGACATGGAGGACCGTTTGGGGAACTGAATGATTTGTAGCACATATGAGCGTGTGCAGTAGGAAGTCCCAATGAGCATCCACATCGAGTTGATGGTGAACATCCCAATCCACCTGTTGTAGATAGTCCTGTAGAGCTGACACATTCAACCGTTTGAAATTCCAGCGCAAGTTGTTGGTGAAATATCGTAGCTCAAGTTTGCTGACGAAACTGAAAGTTATAATGGCGTGATCGCTTTTTCCCAGAGGAGCCAGGATTAAGAGATTGTCAACTAGGAATTCTTCGTTTGTGAATACACAGTCTAGGCACGATGGTGTCTGACTGTTTCTCCAACGAGTTGCCAACCTCACATTTTCGTTTAAGCCCAAGTCATCGATGAGGTTGAAGAACCGAGCCTCAATTGAGTTGTCGCCTCCAGTGTACGTGTGTTTCGTGAAGTTGACTCTAGGGAGATTAAAGTCCCCTAGAATCAGGATATGGGTGAAACCGAGACACGTAGAACGGGATAGTCCTTCAATCATACGACTGCCATAGTCGATGTCGGCAGTGGGCTTCCTATATATGACTCCGACTAGACACCTCGAAGTAGTAGACAGTCTTACAGAGCACCATATGGATTCCTCAAGATTGTTGAACTCGAGGTTGTGAACTTGGTGCACCTCCTAGCAAGAGCTTATGTATGTAGCTACTCCGCCCCCAATTCCTGATTTTCCGTCGTTGCGAAACAAAGACATCCCAGGTACTGCTAACTCCTGGTCCGAGAACTGGGTAGATAACCGAGTTTTAAATATTCTTATCAGATGAGCCTTATTAGTATCGCTGAGTTCACGTGGCTCATCCATTCTGTTTGATAGACCCGCAGCGTTCATGCATAAGCAGTTTGTGCTTTCAATTTGAAACGCGTGAGCTTCTTACTGTTTGTCTGTATGAGCCTTATGTGAATGGACAGATAGCCTACCTACATAAGGTTTGCCGAGTTGGTAAGCCCTGTCCTTTACACGTTTTTTTTATCATCAAGACAGTTCACAAGTGGAATGGTCAGCTCCAAATTGCCTTTGTGTTTCGTCCTAGCTTCATATGGCCTATCCGGGTGCATGTGGATTCTAGCTGGCAGCCGACGTCTTTTGGTACGAAATTCCTCCAGAGTTGCAGCCGCCATATGGGAGGATGGGAAAGTTATCTTCATAAGACGGGGTCTAGAATCACCATCCTTCTTGGCTAGTCTCTTCACATGTTGAGTCAGTATGTTTTTGAGCCTCAAGGACTGTTTGATGAATTTCCATTCCCTAATATCAGAGTTTGCTTGATTAGGGTCCGTGTTTTCCTGTACACCTTGCACAATTATATTTCTTCCGCGGAAAAACTCGCGAGACTCTTTGGGGATGTTCCGGATAAGATTGCGCTCAGAATACGGTATGTCAGGCAGTATTCTTACGTCCCCATCTGATTTCAGTAAATGACTCGCTAGCAAGAAATCCTCTACTTCGGTAGCATTCTTAAGTGTTACACGAAGTAGCCTCGGGTGATTTTGATGCTTAGATTCCTTTCCCCGAGTGAGCCGTGTGACCATCAAAGGCTCTATTCTTGGAAGTTCAAGTTTCTTGTTCAATTCTCCCCACAGCACCCTGTCATTTTGTCCTGCAAACTGAGAGGAAGGTCAGGGTTGTCTTTGAGGTTCATAATTATGAGAGAGTTATCATGAACCGTTATTGTTTTCCCAGGTTTTCCGGTGCGTTCAGATTCAACACCTTGTTGTTTGGAGGCCGAAGCACGTTTCTGAATCCCAGGCTCTTTGATGACTGGACGGTCATTCTTGGGGGTAGACTGTGCGATCAAATCACCAGTTGACTTCCGTTCAACAGCTGGGATGTTCAGCTAAAACGGTGACGCCTGGTTCTTCTTAGCTCTGTTAACGTGCGTCCAATCACTTACAGAGTTTTTGGGAACCACTGTCGCATTCAAGGATCCTGAGCTGGGAGACCCCAGTTTACTGAGGGAGTCGATTACCGTCGACGTAATGATGGTGCTGAGCTTCTACACGTCATCATTAGTGCTAATGGATGCTCCATCGATGGTAGACTTGTCAACATCCCTATTCTTGTTTTCGTTGCGCGCTTTAGTTGTCTACTCGTTTTATGACTGTCTTTATCAAAGTTTGCTGACAACTTACTCTGCAAACCTGTCAGTAGGACAGTGATATTACTCAGCAAGACTACAGCATGCGTGCTGCACGTAACACATTACCACTTATGGTCCGGCTTGCTGAGTCTGTTGTAAGCAGTTGCTGTGAGATCTATGCACGCTTCGTGGAATCAACCTTTGCAGTTGTCGCACTGCATACTAGATGTAACAGCAAAACGGCATCCCGGTCGTTTGCATGAATTTTTCATGACCATATTGACGTAAACTGTGTTATAGATGCTAGCAAAAGCCCAAGACCGTAAAAAATACACGAAAAAGCACACTGGAAACGGACAAAAATGGATAAAAACGGATGAGATAAACTGAACTAGCTTTTACGTGAAAAACTCAGAAAAAACCAAATAGTAAGCTGAGGCAAAAGCACAGTTAACTATTAAATTGGGTGAAACTCAAAAAAGTAATCTACTCAACGTGTAGCTCAGGGTAGATTCTTTTGATCAGAAATGGTACTTTTGTTGCGTAAGAATACAGCAAAAGTTTGATAAATGCAAATCACGTTGGGACTAAACTTCCCGTTCGAAAAGCCAAAAGAGGACTCCATTTTTCTTAGTCAATTATTCGGAGTCTGTCGAGCGTCTTCTAGGCTGTTTCGTGTTCTTCTTCAAGGATGATTTGTGGTGATATTGTGATGTTATTACATTATCGCCAAAAATTCACAATGATTCTAGAGTTCGGTATCATCCACCTATGGAATATAATGACCACGCCATTATATTCAGGTTCAATCTCACTGTGGTCTACTAAGCAAACAAGCTGACATTCTCTAGTACATTGAAGGACGACATGAAAGGGATCGAATACACAGACCCTACGGAATAATGACCAGTCAGTTTGGAAAGGTTATTTGAAATGACACAAAGCTTATACAGACAATAACCTTTAGATTCCCTCGATAGTTGTTGATGGAAATCTACCTCAGGTGATGAAAGAAGATCAGGACAGAGCAGAACTTTATTCAGAATTATGCACTGAAAGCGCTAGGTTCTTTAGATACTGAAAAATTAATATGACCGGATGAACTACAATTTAAAATCCTGATACATATTTCAACATACACTGTTACCCCCACACTACGATATTCAAGACGTCACTAAACAAGGTAAGTTACCTACGACTGAAAAGATGCAATTGTAACCATATTTCGCAAGACAGGACTATTTACATAGAACTACAGACCTATCAGCCTCGCCAATGTCGTAGTTGAAGCACTGGTAAGAATCATCACAAAAGAACATTCGTTAATCAGTATTTGATGAAATGTCGCACGGCTGTTTCTTTATGAAGCTGGAAAGTCTGGGGATTGCCAGACCTTTTCTAAAGTAAGTCAACGACCTATTGGTAAATTGTAAATAGATATTAGGAACACATTCCAAATTTTTACTATGGAGACCAGAAGTTAGCGAATTATCACAAGGCTATATTATGGATCATTTACTTTTATGTTATTTGTAGATTAACTCTCGAGTATCATCGAGTCCCCAAAATTACCTTATTCTGGTGACGCCAACATTTAACGAGAAATAATGGGGGAACACAGATGCATGTACACCAAGACGTTCTGGTTAGCTGGTTTCGGACGTCTCCGAACCCTATGGACACTACTAAGTGTGCCTACAGTCATACTGGAGATATGAAATTAAAGGGCATCACAATTAGTGAAGAAATAGTGCTAATAGTTCTGTTTCATGATGATCCAGGGACAATAAGGAACCAGGATCTAATGGCTGTACTCCGTTCCCATTCAGTTCAAGTCAAGTGGTTCAGAATGCCATGGGTTTGAAGACTGTAGTATACATAGCGTCAATGCTATCAAAACTCGAAAACGGACTTCGGACTGCAGGTAAGAAGGGCAACTCGGATGTGTTGAAAAATGTGAAGGGAATAGTTACCCGTGCAATTCCAGAATCGATAGGTTTACCGTTCACAAGGAGATTCGAGAAGCTAGACCACTTTACTCTGTTTTACCGATGATTAAGAGGTGACCGAATTGCGATTTGCAGAATACTTAGAAATTATTTTGAAAGGTTAGAATCTCACGGAATAAAACCAGAAAAGGGACAATGCAGACCGTCTGGTTTCTCTCCTTAATGCGCACATCTGAATTCGACATTGTTTTACTGCACTGTACCAGATTGGGAACTCAGAAGGTCGTTCTTCTGCCGGGTGAGTTCGCTAGTGATTGCATCCTGTGTATTGTGTGTATATCACGTGGTCGGTTAGAATTGCTATTTTTCTAAGCTCTGGCCATGTACCAGTTGTAGCAAGTTTAAAATTTGTCGCCAGGTTTCTCAATTTGAGAGAAAAGTAGGCAGTTTGGTGTTAATTTTGAGGGAGGTTCCCGTTTCACATAATGTTAGTTTCAGTCTTCAGTAATAAGGATAGGAGGTCTCTCGACCTATATTAATCCTTGCAGTTTGTAATACTGTGGAGGTCCAATCTCGTTTTGAATATATTAACAGACGGTGCTAATATTACGTGTTCCGGTAGGGAATTCCAGTAATTCACTACTCGGTGCGAGAAACGGAACTCCAGACGTAAACGGTTTGACCTCGGTTTTTGAACTTTCTTCGAATGTCCTCTCAAATGATCGGTTCTAGACGGAAGCAAAAGATAAGACATGTTAATACCAAGGTCATCGTTCAGTATACGATAAGCCAATATTAGATCACCCCGTACTCTACGGTAAGATAACGGAAATAAGTTAAGGTGTCTCAGTCTGTCTTCATAAGATAGGCCAGCTAGACCTTGTACCATCTTAGTAGCTCGTCGTTGGACTCTTTCTAGCATATCTGCTTCATATTTGAAACAAGGACTCGCTGCTTGAATCCCGTATTCTAAATGTGGTCGCACATAAATCGGGTATAGTAATCCAAACATTTCATCATCTAAATACTGAAAAGACCTACGCATTGACCATAATACCCTATAGCCTTTCTCAGCAGCAGCCTTACAGTGACTAGTCGTTTTGAGATCATTGCTTAATATAACTCCTAAGTCTTTATAGTTTCTTGCTTTGGGTAGCACGAAGCCACGTAGTGTATAGTCATACGATTCATCAGAGTTATTTAACTGCATCACTACACTCTTATTAGGATTTACTTCTAGTGACCACCTGTCTAACCATGCCACCAATGAGCTAAGATCGTCCTGTATTACTATTCTATCCGACATACTATGTATGGGTCTCCAAATCTTTATGTCATCAGCGAAGAGTAGAACGGATGATTTTGCTACAGTTGGCAATTCATTTACATAAAGTAAAAAGAGAAGAGGACCTAGGATTGTGCCTTGGGGAACCCCACTTTTTACAGGTACCCACGAGGAGAGAGCCCCATTAACCCTTACCCTTTGTCTCCTGTCATGGAGAAAGTTACTTATCCAATCTACGACTGTGTTATGGATTCCAAAACGTTTCAGTTTGAATTTAAGACCAGAGTGTGAAACCTTATCAAAGGCTTTACTTAGATCTATGAAAATTACATCCACAGGAGCATTCCGATCCTTTGCCGCAGCCCACTCTTCTCGTGCAATGAGAAGATTTGTCAAGCAAGATAGGCCTTTCCGAAAACCATGTTGTGCCCTGGAGAAAAGATTTTGCCCTTCAACATAGTTTATAACAGCTATCCGAATGATTTTCTCCATCATTTTCACAAATGCACTAGTTGAGCTAACGGGTCTATAGTTACTAACTAAATCCCTACTCCCAGCCTTATATACCGGACTTATTATGGCGTCTTTCCAGTCTCTAGGAAGTCTGGACTGTCTCAGAGACATGTCGAATAGTATCGCTAATGGTTCAGCAATTTCATCTGATATGGCTTTCATAATCCTAGTATGAATATCATCGGGACCACTGGACTTATTAGGTTTGAGATGCTGAAGTAGCCTTAAAACAGTATCTTTCTCAATGACTACAGGATCCATCAGCGAGCCGTCACGGTCACAATGAATCATTGGTCGTTCCTCATTACCGATAGAAAACACTTTACTAAAATATTCCGATAAAGCTTCAGCTTTTTCGGCATCATTCTCTGCTAAGATTCGAGGCATTTCCCTCAATGCGGAAGTTTCGGGTAAAATTCTCACCTTTTACCACGTGCTAGATGCGCGGTCGCTTATATCCGCTCTGGGTTTTTCTGAGGAATTTTGAAACCTGTCCAAAGCTTTCATTTCCCCTTTTTTGTTTGCTTAGTTGAGGGGACATCTGTTCGCTATTTCAACATAGCACACTAATTCTCTCAACTTCCGATAGACGTAACCAGTCGTATGGAATTGCTTTTGAAGTCATATTAGGATTTTCTGCTAAGGGCGTCCAAAAATCGAAAATTCCCACTAATTTAGATCAATCTTCCAATTTTGGTGAAAATTCGACCCATTTTGAGGAACTGGCACCAAAACCTCAAAATTTCCTCTAAACCTTGGTAAAGGTCATTTGACTTTGGGGGTTTACCCAAACTTGGGAGATTGGGAGTTCTGCAAAATTTACGCTAACTCTGAGGAAATCTCCATTTGCACAAAGTGTACGTAGACACTGAGAAGATTCAGCAAATTAGTGCATAAGCCTCCCGGAACTTCTAGCAACTTCATGCAAAGCCTCGAAATATCAGTCGAAACAAAACATCGAAATTTTATCCTCCAAAATTCAAATTGGAATATTGACTTGTACATTTTCGGTCTTCCAAATTCAGTCTAGTAGTTTCCCCCCTAGCTGCCTGCATAACTATCTACATCATAGCACCGTGCATAGTTGACTACATAGATCCAACCAAGTAAACTTTCTGCTTAGATGATATTTTATTTTCACGTAAGGACCGATAACTGAAGTTCATTCACCTTGTAGACGTAGTCCTTGTCAACCAACACTCACAAACATAACGTCATATTTTTGTCCGACCATAGTTAAAAGGCTGACATAATATTCAGGGCAATATGTGTCTAAAAGAAAACAAATATACATTTTACATAAGTCGTCTCATTTCTCCATATTGTGGTTTAAAGAAGTGAGGTGATTCCCTAAAGCTGATTCAAACTTAGGTTTACAGTATTCTGCAAAGATAGATGTTAGTGATGTCATTGGTTTACCAATAAATTTATTTATTTATTTAAACATAAGAACGTTGGTACAGGGAGGCATCGCATATATATGCATCTTACCTTGTCATTCGATTTGTGTTTGGGTTGTGATACTGCCCGGGTGCCCGAACCGAAGCAGGTGGTTCTCTTAGGGAGACACTCCGAGCCTTTGACCTAGAGGTCTAATCCACAAGGCAGTGAAACAACGCTAGGTGTTCATATTTTCCACAGTGGTTGATGATCGTCGCTTTTTGGGAAAAGAAATATAAGATAGTATCTGACTAGCGATGTTTGTCACAGACAAGATTTCTGTTAAATGACAGATGGCACAGGAACTAGATTAAATCAACAAGCTGAGGGTCGATTTATTTGAATATGTATTGTCACTGATATACAATATTCAGAAAGAATATATTACAACTTATCCAAAGAAAATGTACACAAATAAGATGATTGGAGGTACACGATAAGAAATGTTAATCAAACCAGTTCAGTCACTGATATGGATACTAGCATACATAATTAGAACACGAAATTGAGCAAGGTATTATATGTATTACTTTGATGGCAAGCCTTTAAAGAATTCACCAGTTAAAGAGATTGGTGAAAATATTAGTGAATATTATAAAACAGCCACGGAATTGGTTGGCAAAATACGTGTCGCAAAATTGTATATAGACCTATGAAAACGATGCAAACTGAAAGATTGTAAATAAATATGTATGGTAGCAATAGCACACTGACGTCTGTTAGTGCTTAAGAAGCCAGCTAAAACGTGGTAGTACACATTAATTTTTAAATTTTGAATAAACCTACAAGCTACAAATATTGACATATGAATATATATCCAATAAACCATTTTTACTGATTCTTACATTATCTTTCAATATTCATCCATCAATGTCTCTTACATCGTACAAGGAACCCTGACTTTCAGAATCTATGACTCATCTGAAATCTTTCCCACATAAGGAAGCTCTGAAATATGGAGTACTGAACTAGCCAAAAATGGTCTAGTACAGCCGAGGGTGTGTAGAGTCCGCTTTCCGTATTTTGGACACTGTTTACTGTGGGACGGCATTTCCTAACGTTTCTGTGATGGCTTGTAAATTCATTCTCTAGGTTAGAAGCTCGGGGAGTGACCTACTAATAAAACTACTTTCTTTCGGTTCGGGCAGCCTAGCATTATCCCATCCCACATACAAATTGAATGATAACTACTTGGTATGGCGCATATATATTTTGGTGCCCCTTTAAATACTATAGATCGTCCCGGATTACTGATAACCAACTTGCTTTTCGTTTCATAATGACCATGAGTAGTTGCAAGTTTGTTCGACATTGCTCAATCATGGGATTTTTGATCTAATGTAGCCTCTATCTTACTTAGTTCTTCAGGTGTCTGAAGTGAAAATTTCAAAGATCAAAAATCCATGCAACATTTACTTTTTCGTCTAATTTTGGTTGATTATCTCATCAGATAGATCACTCCCTAATGTTTTGTCAACATTCCAATTGAAAGCCTGGGATCCACAAGCATAAAAATAAGTACCAATTCAGCCTACTCGGCTACGGTACCCCATGACGTACGTAGCATCAGTAATGTCAAAACATGGGTTTTAAATAAACGAATTTCTAGAAATGCATTTAACTATTGCTTAAATTTAGATCAGTGACAGGTGGTCTACCAAAATGTTAACATTAGGAAAATTAAGTGGAACACATCCAGCCTCAAATTCTGATGTATAAACAGCTTTTGTTGCTCTGACAACCCTTATATATTGGATATGATTGCTTACCTCAGGCCTTTTTAACGAATCTTTACACTAACTCATTCATCAGGTACTTGAGCACTGACTAAATTGTGAGGGCTAGTGATACTATCCGGTTGCACAATCTGAAGGTGGAGCGTGGTTCGAAACGTATTGGATGGCTTGAAGTCGAACGCCTAAACCACTAGACTTTTGATTGGCACAGTAGCGTGCCATCCTTAATAGTACTCGTGGCATCGTAACCGAGGTCTCCTGTAAATGTAGATTTCAAGTAGATGACTAACGAACTCATCTGGAAGAAGGGTGTATAATGTCATCACAACTAACCACACTAATGCAAAACTTTGTATTTCTTCGAAGAACACTCAGCTTCGAGATCAATCTGATCCATGATATTTTTAAATGTCGCATCCTACTTGTGTACGTACAAGCACTGATTGAGAAACCAGTTTGTGGGTAGTACAAACACCCCTCTAATCTGAGTCGATTATAATATAATATCCTGATTGTTGCTTAAAAAAATACAATTACGTTATAAAATTGAAACACTTGAAACGTCAGTAAAATCGTTGATAAATCCATCTTGTGGAATAGGCTGCCGTAATATAAAGGCGCCCGTGTGTTAGCCTATTTAACTGACAACTTTTTCCAGTGGTAACGTACATAAAGGCAGGATTATGATCTCGCAGTATTACGTAAGAATCTTTTATTTATTTATTTAAACACATTGGTACAAAGGGGCACTGAATACATATGTGCCACACAAGTCACTTGATTTGTGTGTGGACTATGCTACTGCCCGGGTTCCACAAAACAATGGAGCAACGTTGAGAAATGCAGTTCCATGATAGTCGGTGGTCAACAATAGGTTCATACACCATTTGTCCCCTCAGGATCCCGTAGCCCATGTGCATCATTGGTTTGGAACCAGGGTTTTCTAACTCCTTTAAATGGACCCTCCGTATTCATCAACCCGGTTAGAGCGCCGGACATTCGCTTTTTGTCCTCTCAATTTCGTAGACAACACCCCCACCTCGAGAGGACAGTAAGTAGGACTTCTCTGAAAGTGGCTGTATACGCGTGTCCATTTTGAGAGGAAGAGCGAACTCTCTCCACCCTCAGCCGTACCAGGGCATTTGGGGACTATTAGTATACGTTAGAAATCCAAATACATACATGTATACATTAAGAATACCAGTTAATTTAGTGGTATTGCGTAGAAGAGCATGTTTTAAGTAAAAGCTGGGCTAATTAATAAAAAACTAGTTCTCTAAGTGCTTAAAGTTTGCGAAAAGACAAGATTTTGTGGGATAGAAGAGTTTATATAAATTCTGGAGATTTTCCCACTGATGGAAACATCGGAAGAAAACTTCAGACCATTGGGAACTCGGATCTCTGTGATATGACGGGATGAAAAGTCAAAACTAGATTGATTTACTGATTATGATTTCTATTCAACATTATTCCGTTTTGATTGGATGTTATGAGTACTCAGTATGGTATTTGTTTTGTTTTCCCCTATGACGTTTTTCTCTGTATAACATACGATATCCTTGTATTAAGCTAACATGAACTATACTCAGCATATGATTTGTTATAATTGTAAGTATTTTTCATATATGTGATATTATTTTAATTATTAATCAAGAATAGGTTTATGAATCAATATATAAACGGGTGTATTTCCGACTAGACTTGTCGTGGTTGTTCGTAATTCTGACTGTTTGTGGAATATATTTCCCACTTCCGAACTTGGACTTCTCTTTAGTTAGCGGGGCTGGGACGCGTTGGAATAGCTAGCTTATCTGCCATCGTGTCACAAAATTTTCGTTCTGTTCTCAAATTAGGTGAACTCGTAATCGCTTCAAACATAGCACTCTGGTTTCGTTTTTCCAAAAGATTTGCTTATTTCTCCATCGTCCCTTTATATACTTAAAATGTGGGACCTAGATAAGGGACGCCTGCTTCAAATGTTTCACAACCATTGGATAAGACGAGAATTCATTATGATGTCGAATAATTAAGGGCTAATATTTTTGACCCTACATTAGTCAAACTGATTCCCCTGGTTATTGTCCAGCAAGTTCGTGAGTCCCAGGTAAGTATGCATCCAAGGCTAACATTTTTGCTGTGGATTACGATTTGAAAATGAGATCTTACCTGAATTAATATTTACCAGGTCTATCCATCACTATCGACTAGAATACTTAATAAATCATCAAACTGACTGAAACACAGGGACGTTCATGTATAATGTGGATAGCCAGTCATACATAACTTAGAACCTGTGATATGTGTACCAGTTCAAGTTAACATATCAGAATCTCGTATAACTTATTTGATATCCCGTGGATTAATATTTAGACCATCCCAACAGCTGTTAGAGGTCATGTTTATTATTCATAATGTGAATTTTTATAAATCATGAGGTTTTAACATTAAGCTCTTCTTTCATTAACCGTGTTTTCATCCCGTTCATTCTTACTTTACACAATTTGACTAGACATTTCTACTCTCCTTTCTTAGATATATTAGTCGGTATTATATATACATAACACTACGGATTTTAAATGCCTGACACTACGAAACGTGGTTTATTTGTCGTTTTCGAAGGTGTTGAAAAATGTGGCAAAAAGACACAATCAGAACTATTACAGGAAGCTTTAACTCAAATTACCGGCAAACAAGCCTTGTTGATTCATTTTCCTGACAAAAGTACACCAATAGGGAAACTACTGGCTGAATACTCTGATGAAAAACTCCAACTGGAACCACATGCAGCTCATCTTCTTTATATAGCTAACAGGTAGGTGATTCTTCATTACCCGTTAATACTTAAAACATTTTACATGTTATTGAGTTACTTAGGTCAAATTACCAGTTTTATAGCTTTCATGTATGTTATAACTCTGTTTCTTACGGTTAATGACCCAGCTATTCCTATTGCTTAGTATTCTCGGACACCGATTCACTCGACAAGTCCCCAAATCAAAACACGGTTGAACAGGAAAAGATTATATTCCAAATAGCAATCAGAAGCATAATAGGGAAAAACGTCAGTATATTTATAGTTTTTTACATAAGAAGATTCCAGAATATTCTCCGACTATCGACTGGTGCTGATTGGATAAGAATCAGCCAATCAGCGTGCAGCAAAGCAATCATGCATTGAGCATGCTTTAATCTAGTCTATGTCCCGCTAACACCTCCCCTCTGAGCAGATTCGTAGGATCTGGTGCTAGGGTCCAACTGCAACCGAGTGACTGGCCTGTGCTTTCGATTAGTCCATCGTCTAGGCAATAAAGAAGTATCACTCTTTTCTTGCACAGAAACTGATGGGTCTATTCCCGGCGTTTTGATTTCAAAGGTGTCTAGCAGAACATCAAGAGGTAATCGATATTGAATCTTGTTGCTGGCTATCGAGGTTGCTTTCAATTGGTTAGCATGACGTACCCAAACTTCCGAGCCAACTGACACCTCGTAAACCACACTCCCCTTCTTTTTCAAGATCCGACCAGCTGTCCATACAGGATGTTTCCCACGATAGTCCATAGCAAGCACTTTTTGTCCCACAGTGAACAATCGTCTTTGTGCCCCCTGATGTCGGTTAAACTGTTTCTCCATCGATAGGTTTCGTTGGGGTTCAATAGCTGGCGTAGGACGGATGACATCGAAATGTGTACGTATCTTTCTGCCAAGTAGAGCTTCTGCTGGAGAGAGCCCGTTAATTGTCTGAGGGTTCGGTGTAGAACGATAAATAAACAGGAACCTCTCTAAGATATCTTCAGTGGTCCCTTCCCCTTTGGATTTTTTTAGAGCATTTTTAAATGTACTCACAAAGCGTTCCACTTGGCCATTTGATTGGGGATGGTATGGAGGTGTTCGGATGTGCTGGATTCCGTTCTGCCGACAAAATTGTGAGAAGATTTCGGACGTAAACTGTGTTCCGTTGTCACTAACTATCAATTCCGGGATTCCAAAACGACTGAATAGTTGACGTAGTTTACTGACTGTGCAGCTTGCAGTCGGGTGTTCCATGAGAAAAATTTCTGGCCACTTGCTATATGCATCAACCACCAAAAGGTAAGTTTGTCCATGAAGTGGACCAGCAAAGTCCAAATGTATACGCTGCCACGGTGACTGTGGTATTGGCCATGATTGCAGCTCTGCTTTTCGCGGTGCTTTTGTTGCTAATGCACATTTGGTACACGAACGGGATAGCTTCTCCAGTTGGGTGTCTAAATGCGGCCAGTATACATAACTTCGTGCTAGTGCTTTCATGCGATTTATTCCAGGATGTCCTGCATGCAATTGTTCAAGCACTGCTGGTTGTAGCTTCTTGGGAATTATGACACGTTCGGCAAACAGCAGACAGTCATCGATGATTGAAAGAGAGAGTCTTCGCTGGTAAAACTGTTGAAGGTCTGTGGAATAGATTTTCGAGGGCCACCCTTCTAGGTGGAACTTTCTAACTTCTTGTAGTGTTGGGTCTCGAAGCGTTTCTTCCCTGACTTCATCTGACGACACTGGAGTGTTTCGAATGGCATCTGCCACTATACTTCGTATTTCTGGGTCTACTGCTGTGGAGGCAATGATTATATCCTCTGGTCCAGGATGTTGAACTCCAATTAATCGGGAGAGAGCGTCAGCTTGACCGATAGTATTTGTTGACTGATACTTGATATTAAAATCATAACTCAGGAGCATTGTTGCCCAGCGCTGTAGTCTATTAGCCGTATAGACAGGGATTCCTTTCTTAGAACCAAAGATTGCAATCAAAGGTTTGTGATCTGTCAGTAGAGTAAATGTACGACCATAGAGCATTTTATGAAATCTTTTGACTGCGAAAATGATTGCAAGAGCTTCCTTTTCAATTTGGCTGTAGTTTCGCTCGGCTGGAGTAAGTGATCTAGCAGCATGGGCAATTGTCTTCTCTGATTTATCCGGAAACACGTGAGATATCACTGCTCCAACTCCATGACTAGAGGCATCAGATGCAACAACAATTTCCAAGCTGGGATCGAAGTGCGTCAAAAGAATCTTTGAGCTGAGCATTGATTTGACTCTGTCAAAAGATGCTTGACATTCTGCTGACCACTGCCAAGGTTTATCTTTCGATAGTAATTCATTTAGGGGACCTCTCACTCGGTGTATTTCAGGCAAGAATGTGCTGTAATGACTGATTAACCCCAAGAAGGATCTTAATGAAGAAACATCAGTTGGTGCAGGCATCTTCTGAATGGCTTCGATGTTGGCAGGGTCTGGTCGGCGACCGTTCTTATCTAAGATAAAACCAAGGTATTTGATCGAATGCATGAAGAAGATACATTTTTCCTCACGTAGTTGGAAACCATACTCCAACACTCGGTTAAGGACTTGGTGTAGTCGATCAGAAAGTTCACTGTCAGTTGAACCCATAACTATGATATCATCTAGATAAGCTGCTGTACCAGGTATACCTGTTAGCATCGTATCCATTATTTGCTGAAAGATGGCGGGTGCGGTCTTGATGCCAAATGGTAGACGGGTGTATTGAAATAACCCTCGATGAGTGTTAATGGTCAGAAGCTCTCTACTATCTTCATCTACTTCCACTTGGAGATAAGCATCGGAGAAGTCTATTTTCGCGAAACATGTCCCACCATTAAGCTTGGCAAACAGGTCTTCCGGAACTGGTAAGGGATATTGATATACATCTAACGCAGCATTTAAACCGGTCGAGAAATCGGCACATATGCGTATAGTCCCATTGGCCTTCTTAATCACTACAATCGGTGCGGCCCATGCAGAGTAGTTAACTGGTCGGATTACACCAGCCTGCTGCAAGCGATTAAGTTCCTGGTCGACTAGCTCAAGAGCAGCATATGGCACAGGACGTCTCGGGCGAAAAATAGGTATGGCATCTGGTTTCACTGGTAAGTGCGCTTTCATCTTGGTACAGTGGCCAAGGCTATTCTGAAAAACAGAGGCAAACTTTCTTTTCAGTTTTTCTAGTAACCGTTCACCTGTCTTCTTTGGAAGTAATGGGGTGTCCAATGATGAACACGATACGTTACAGACACTGTTAATTGGTATATCCATTATTCCAAGTTTGTCTAGCATATCTAGACCAAGAAGATCAAGGTTCGGCCGTTCTGTTAGGTAACATATTCCTGTACAGTTAGTTCCATTGAAGGAAAATTCACACTGTAATTCACCAACCAGTTTTAGCACACCACCTGATGCGTTTTTAGCCGTTTTCTTAGATGGCTTCATTGGCGGTTTACCCAGCAAGTTATACGTTTCTCTAGACACTAACGTGATATCTGATGCCGTGTCAATTTGAAGACGAGCTGATATGCCGTTTATCTGGATGGTAACATACTTTCTCCGAATGTCATAGTTTGTTTGAAAAGCAGCTACCAGAGAAAGAGATTTAGACTCGGCTGATTTCACATGTCGAGGACGTTTATGCTTCTTCTTAGGCTGAGACGTACGCTTCGGTGGACAATGACCTTCTTTATGTCCACGTTTGTTGCACTCCTGACATTTATGCTTCTTGAATGGACAGAATCGTGCATAATGCCAATCACCGCATAACCAGCATGCAGTCCTTGGTTTGTTACGAGTTGTTACCGGCTTCTGAACTTTTAACCTAGTAATAGTATTTACACTACCGCAGGTTAAATTAGGATTTACCTGTTCAATCAACTCGTTGTCGTGTCTGATGCTTTGTAGACGCTTACACTCATCTGTCAATGTTCTGAGTGTGACGTTTGGGTCTTGATCCAGTCGAGCTAAAAGTCTCGTCCTGATCTCAGCATCTTGTGGTGACTGAAGAGCTTTGATGAATATTAAGCATTTAAATTGGTCATCCGTCAACGAGCGTAACTTGAAACGTTCACATTCTCTGTTGACAATGTCTGCTAGGACACCATATTCATCAGCTTCGCGTTTCACCAAATTTAGACACCGATAACGAATACTAAACAACGAGGATGACTCGCCGAATATCTCTGACAACTGAAATACCGTCTCCTCGAAACTGAGCTCTCGAGGTAACTTTGGCAATATATGGTCAGCAAAACGTGCATGTTCATTGCCTCCCAACTTACGTACCAACAATCGGGTCTTCCACGCATCGTCTTGGTTACAGAATTCTGTTCTAAATGTATCTTCCCAACGTTTGAACCACGTGAGAAAAGTATTTCCACTTTCGGGATCATAGATGAATTCTGGGATGCTGCTAGCAACTGCATCACAAGACGTACTTAAAATAGCATGTGAACCCGAGCTGTGAATGTTGAGCTGTTGAGTCAGGGTCTCTAACAACCGCATTTGTGCATCAAGTTGTGCTTGCTGTTGTTGTAGTATTCGGTTAAGCTGGTCATCTGATATGGGCATCTTGAATTTGTTTTCCTTTTTCCCCGTCGCCACTGTTATAACTCTGTTTCTTACGGTTAATGACCCAGCTATTCCTATTGCTTGGTATTCTCGGACACCGATTCACTCGACAAGTCCCCAAATCAAAACACGGTTGAACAGGAAAAGATTATATTCCAAATAGCAATCAGAAGCATAATAGGGAAAAACGTCAGTATATTTATAGTTTTTTACATAAGAAGATTCCAGAATATTCTCCGACTATCGACTGGTGCTGATTGGATAAGAATCAGCCAATCAGCGTGCAGCAAAGCAATCATGCATTGAGCATGCTTTAATCTAGTCTATGTCCCGCTAACAATGTACTATCAATAAAGCAAATTTACATTGATAAACTCTTAACCTTGAAGTATCGAATAGTTCGTTACATCTTTAATAGCGACT